TCATTGGTTCTGTTTATTGTTAGCCTTGTGCCAAACTCTTCGATTTTAATGTTTAGTTTGGCCTGTATAATTTGTCCATATCACTTGGAAAGGAAGTTATTCTGTGTTAGGTCATTCTTATTTTTATGGGTTTCACCACTCATTGCCCTACACACTTTAAAAAGATGATTCTTAAGTAAAGAAAATGATTCTATATAGAACTATGAACACTCAAAGAACCCTTTGCATGATTAAACCCTTTTTTGAAAAGGGCTCTATATTGCACCAAAAAGCGTTCTTCTATTATGATATCAGCTTTGTAACAATAGAAGAACAACACATTCTCCATAAATCTGAGGAACGCTTTCACGATGCAAAGAACCCTTTAAAGATGGAAAGGGTTATTTGAGTGTTTATGGTTCTATATAGGACCATTTTCTTTACTAAAGAACCACTGAGGATCTTATTTAAGAGTGAAAGGCCCACAAACAGGTTAAATCGTCTATCTGTGTATGTAAATTATTATATAGATACAGCCGTATGCAAAAGTTTGAACACCCTGGGACAAATGACATGTTTCATTGATTTTCTAACTAAAAATAAGTTAACACATCATCTACCAGGAACAAACTTAAATGGCATTTTTTTCTGCAAATTTTAGTGCACAATTAGTAGTTATTAACTGAGTCTGACATATTGGAAAAAAATTAAATATAAAATATATAATGTGCAATGACATTCGCACAGGCCACATTTTGTGTTTTTTTTTTATTAAATTAATTTCAGGAAATAGACAGTAATTGTGTATTAAAATGTGCAGAACTTTGTTCTCTGTAGACGATGTGTTTTTTTCATTTAGAAAATCAATAAAACATGTAATTTAATCAGGGCCACCCATATTTTTGTATCTGACTATATATGCAATTCTTTACATATATACTTATTCAAATAAAGCTTGTCCTGTAATACATCTGAATTTGTGTATTCTGCCTCGTACATAATCAGAGAACTTAACAATAAGAATAGAAAAGGGGGAAATGTTATCCTTTCCAAATACATAAACTCAAATGATATTCCTTTGAATTGCTTGCACACTCAACCCTTACCATAAAAGCCAATCCACTCAGATTGCATTTTCATTAAGCAGTGTTTCTAGTTCAGTCCTAGCTGCCCTTGGTCTATACCAGGCCATTTACTAAATAGATCAATAAAGACTGACAGAATTTAGGAATAAGGTTTAAGACTATGTTAGCGTCATTGTCTCTTCTGAGTTCAATAGTGGTGCTAAAAGTATGTTGATCACAGCTTAATATTTTATAGCAGCATATCATGTACAGGTGTAGCATTAGTGCACTTAAATAAAGAGTATAAAAGCCATGACGTGAATCACACTTTTTGTGCTTTGTGTCCAAAATTTAGCTTTGCATTGGAACTGGAACCATTGGAACCAGATTATGGCAAAAGCCAAAATGATCTGAAAATCACTCAAGTACCTCAAGCTATACTGTTTGGGTAACATAATTTATATATACACAAAACTGACTAGTCTCTACTATTAGGAAGTGATTTCTAAATAACAAATTGGTAAATGTATATGGATTATACTGTAGTAAATTATCAAATCTGATAATAATAAAGAATCATTTCAGGTGATCTTCATCAAAAGGCTTATGAATCAGCCACTCATCATGATTCATTAGGATTTATTCACCTGTTCTAGTGTCCAGAGCAGAGTGATTTGTTCTCACTGAGATGTGATGGTTCTAGGAAGACACATTCTTATATCTCATAGGAATACAGCCAGTGCCATACTGCATACTGTTTCCAATGATGTAAGAGGAGCACTGTGTAGCAGACAGTAACAAATTTGCCTTAACATATTTACTCAAACAAAACTTTATAGAAAGGCTAGCAAAAGTTTTGTTGGATTGACCACTAAAATGACTTACTTTCTGAAGTAAGAGGCTTAGATTATTATTATTATTATTATTATTATTATTATTTTGTATTGTTAATAAATACATTAAATATGTTATTATTATAATGCAATATAATATAATAATATAATATACTATTTTTGCAAAAAAAAGTTTAGATTTAAATGATAATTCAAAAGATAATTGATTACATATTTATTGCACTCCAGAAGAGCAGAACTGTATTAATAATGTTATATTAAATATTGTTAAATATTGTTAGCTATTATTCATAATTATTGTTGGCTCGACCAGTAAACTTACAAAGTAATTTTGAAATTACACAGTAATTACCTTCTGAAGTAAAAGGTTTGCTTTGCTTTACAATTCTTCTTCCTCTTCTTCTTCTTCTTCTTCTTCTTATTATTATTATTATTATTATTAGTGGTAGTAGTAGTATTGAAACTATTAGATACTTGCTTAACAAAATTTTACTGATAATTGATGATGTATTTATTGCACTCAAGAAGAGCAGAATGTTTAGGCTATGTTGGGCTACTATGCTAAAATGTCAGTATTTTATTAATTTTGCTGCATTTTTAACCCTCTAAAAAATGTTAGATTTCTCTGTAATGCCTATTCAGACGAATCTAGTCCCAAAAAGATGAAGCAAATTTATACTGACTTGTTGATACTTACTTTGCTCACTGTTGTGCTGGCATGTGCTGCTAATACACTTTTCAGTCCATAGCATGATAAGGAGAAGATGACCAAGAGGGCATGAGGCACCAGTGAACAAAGTCACACTCTGTACTCCAGTCTGCGGTGAGAAAAGACACCCATTCACTCATGTAACCAATACTCACATGCACAATTTATGTAGTCGCTACTTTATTTATATTTTCTGTAACAGTTCTGTTGTGTTAAGGATGCTCTTTCCTTAGATATTTCAAAGGCAACTAACTACACTTAGCGGCCTAAGCATAAACATTCCTATTTGGCCCCATACCATTTACAGTCAATTGCAAACTCTAATCCACATATTGTTGGCAACAGTATTGTATTCAGAAGTTAGCTGACTGACGACATGTTGTCTTTGTTCTGTCAACAGTACAGGTGAGGTGTGGATATTTTATGTAACAACACATTTATGTATAAAGTTGTACAGATGGCGGTAAATTAAAAGAAAAAACAGCCTTAGTTGCAGCCAGAACAGCTCTAATGCACCTTGAATTGATTCTACAAGACTCTGGAGCTGTACTGGAGGAATAGAGCCCCATTTTTCAAAAAGATTCTCATCAAACCATTCAGTGACCTTTAGTGTCCTGTGGATAAGGGACTATATTGAACATATGTTAGGCAGTAAATAATGTGATACAATGTTTACTGTTGTGCAGAGGCTCACAATAAGACTACAAAACATACTTATGCTTTTATGCTATTAAAATTTTCAGAATGCATCAGTTGTCCATACAGGTTAGGATGTTATCTTGCTTAATCTCACTAGTAAGCTAGCTAAATTAGCAAGTATCCTACAAGCTCCATTTGATTAGAACTTTACTTCCCGCTCCAACCATGTAAATCAGTTCTAAATAAAACCATATATATATATTTTTACTATTGTTCTAATAATGATGGATTTGGATAGACATGGAGAGATCTGTTGTTTTCCTTTCTACTTTCAGAGAAAGTTATGTTTGAAATTACATTCATTAGCATAAAGTTGAAATCTACTGAAGTTTCGCGCTGCATCTCAAACCATCATGCATTGCACAATGCAGCAGAGATCTCCATTGAAATGAACAGGATGCAGCAAGGAAGTTGCAAGTGAACCCCAACCATGCCTGCAAAATGCACTCAAGGCATCTGTACTGGACAAATGGAACACCTTTCTTCCAAGAGTCCTCTGACCCTTAGCTATTCCCACTCAGTCAACAGTGTGAACATGGCCGAATGTGCCATGTAAATCTAGTATTGCACTGGCCTGTCTGGTGTTTTTAGCAGAAAATCTTGATTGTAGGGACTTAAAATCGATGGATTAACTGCAGCGTTTAAAAATAGAAGTAGTTCCTTTAGTTTGATCACAATAAAAGAGAATGAAGCAGACTTGTGGTTTAGAACAGGCTGGCCAGACTGTTCCCAAGGCCAAAATCACAAAATTATCTTCCATGACAGAAACCTGTATTCAGCATGACAGTTCACAGAATACTGAGGCTCGAAGTCACTTCTCTACACATTACTGCAGTTAGCTAGCCTTAATTGTTAGCCCCTTGGCAAACACAACTAGTGTTTACTACCCTAGTTTGCAGCATAGAAACTGCAAAACAGAGAGGTGATACAGCTTTATGCCAGTGTAAACATGTCAGATACATCAATCACAAGCTCAGCTTGACTAGACAGCCCTTCAGTGAACTCCAGTAGCCTACTTAGTGCTAGTAAAGGCTAGCTGCAGAACGTAGATGCTAAAGCTCTGTCTAAGAACTAATGTTACCCCATTACATTTATTTTGTAAAATATCCTTTTATACATGACTCAAATTAGATTAAAAATTTAAAGGAGAAATGGGATACTTAGTATAATGCTTTCCGCCATTGTGGGGGACTGTTCTTGATTGAGGGAGTGGGCGTGGCTAACGGTCAGAGGACCCGTCACTCTAAAACAATAAACACTTAAGGTGAGTGATGATTAAAATACATTTTAGTCACAGAATTGCCTTTGAGTGTAATTCCAGGTCTTTCTCTTTATCTCTTACTTTTCATCAAATTATGCAATTTTTTTTACTCTCCACTCCTGATGTTATAGAGGTTTAATTGATTAACAATTGATATGTTGATTAAACTTTACTGGACAAAATTGCGATCAAAAAATATATTGACCCTTATTCACGAGGTGAGCAAAGTAAACTGAAATAATGAGCTATGTTGGTGATCTGCAGTGTAACAGTTTGCAGTAACTCGTGTCATTACAACACTGTTTATTGACCAGCACGTTTCAGAATTACTCTCACAGCTGTTTTCCCAGGACTGTGAGAGCCCTAGTTGGGTGCTTCTAGACTGAGAGGGGCGGGCCATAGAAATTTCCGGCGTCGCTGCTGCTCAAGATCCAGAAAGTTCTCCACCGCAGCAGCTTATATATAGAGGCAGCCGTCTTCCTGTTCCACACAGTGAGCAGCTCCGGCCAGTGCGCTGAAGGTAACGGCACACGAGAAACAAGCAGACTCTTACTGAAGGACACATACTGTAAGTACTGTTAGCCAACCACCCTCGTCTAGTCTCATGACATAAATATAACAACATATATATATATATATATATATATATATATATAACGAATGTCTTGGATATGTAGCTGGCTAACGTTAGTTCAGTTGTTTTTTAGGTTAAGCATTCACTTGTCACGCGTTGCCATGTGAACCAACGTTAACTTAGCCACAGCACTAAACTAGAACTAGAATTATTCAGTCGCTTATTTTTTTACCAATCAAAATAGCTAGTATGATATTAAAGTTACCTAGCTAGAAAGTATGGATGTCTGTTAGCTATGTACGTATATATGTAAGCTAACGTTACGTTAATGTCCTGTAGCTTGGTCTTTGCCGAAAATGGTTCGAGAGACCGGTTACTACGACATTCTCGGAGTGAGCCCGAAAGCCTCTCAAGATGAAATCAAGAAAGCTTACAGAAAACTGGCGCTGAAATATCACCCGGACAAGAATCCGAATGAAGGCGAGAAAGTAAGTTGCCGTGTCCATGTCTGTCTATTTTCAACAGCAAGTGCCACCTCGTAGCACCCAGCTGACAGCGACAGAAACGGGTGGAACTTTCTGGAATTACCTTGAGCTCTAATGTTAGCCTGCTAACCTACAGCGAGCAGCTACAGTGACTGCCCCCAACCCGGTAGCTAACCTACCTTACTGCATAGCGTTAATTCATCAATGAATTATATAATCTTTTTTCTCTCAGAAATTATGCTCAGTTTGTGTTTGTGTTAGCGCGTTGGTGAATTTATTTTAGTGGGCGGAAAAATACTCAAGACCGTGGAGTTGGGGCAGTAAGCTATTGGAGAAGGAAAACGGTTCACAACTGCTAGAAGGATCTGTGTACCAGTCACATTTTAAATGTAATATTTGTACGATTTCTCTGCCACAGTTCAAGCTTATATCCCAAGCCTACGAAGTCCTGATAGATCCCAAAAAGAGGGACTTGTATGACCAAGGGGGTGAACAAGCCATCAAAGAAGGGGGCGTGGGTGGAGGAGAATTCTCCTCTCCAATGGACATTTTCAACATGTTCTTTGGTGGTGGTGGCAGAACACAGAGAGAAAGGAAAGGTACATATTTACATCTTTGACTCACCAAAGGACTGGTATTAAATGTTACATAATGCAATGAAGAAATTTTGATATAAATAGAATTAGTCTGTGATTACTATGCATTAACAACCCCATGAATGCACAATTTACTCCTCTATAGTAATCATAAGCAATCACTTGTGTTTGAAATATTTCAGTATAGCACAAATACAAATGTTTTGTTTCTTTCATTTATATTAGGAAAGAATGTGGTACACCAGCTTTCCGTAACACTTGAAGAAATATACAACGGTTCAACCAGGAAACTTGGTCTGCAGAAAAATGTCATCTGCGAGAAATGCGATGGTAAGTAAAGACATGTCTGTATACTTAAACGTGCTCAGTGATGTTCTATAACTGGAGTTTAAAAGCACTAAAAAAATCTTAACAGCACTGTTAAGATTTTCTGAACACTGGTTTGTGTTCAGAAAATCAGTGCATTTTTTATATAAAAATGTTGAAGCATTTATAAACTTTATTTATTTTGAGCTTGAGGGTGCCCTCTAGCGCCTGACAAACCCAGAAGCGATTATCGAGCGGCAGATCTCCTCACTAGAAATTCTCTGGTCACAATTTTCAAAAACTTTGCTAAGGCAAGACAAATAAATGCCTTTACATGTGACCAAATGTCAGCACTGAAACAACAATATGAACTACCATTGACGTAAATTGTCTTAAATTGAGGGCAATTTCTTCCATAGGGTATGGAGGAAAGAAGGGCACTCTTGAAAAATGCTCAAACTGCAAAGGCAGAGGGGTTCAAATCCAGGTGCAACAGATTGGACCAGGAATGATTCAGCAGATACAGAGCATGTGCTCAGACTGCCAAGGACAGGGAGAAAGGTTCAGTGCTAAGGACCGCTGCAAGAACTGTAACGGGCACAAGGTGGAACGCAAAAAGAAGATTCTCGAGGTCCACATTGACAAAGGTATGTGTACTACTGATAAAGTTTCCAGTATGTAGGTAATGCATCTTTTGCACATTTCTGATTCAGTTTACTTTGGCTACATGCAGAGACAAAATGAAGTGTTTAAGCAGCTGAGAAGAGAGTTGTGAATTTTTTTAATTTTATTTTATTTTTTTTTACTATAGGTATGAAAGATGGCCAGAAAATCACATTCCATGGAGAGGGCGATCAGGAGCCAGGTCTGGAACCTGGTGATGTTGTCATTGTCCTGGACCAAAAGGACCACCCTGTATACCAGAGACAGGATGACAACCTAGTTATGAAGATGCAGATAAAGCTGGTTGAGGCACTCTGTGGTTTCAGAAAGACAATACGCACACTAGACAACAGAACGCTAATCATCAATTCACCTCCAGGTACATTAAATATTTATTTACCTTTATCCCAAGCTATTAACTGACGATCTGTATAATACAGTCGCTGACATGCTTTCCTATTTTCCAAGGCCAAGTAATAAAACACAATGATTTGAAGTGCATTCAGAATGAGGGCATGCCTGTGTACAGAGATCCATATGAGAAAGGACTGACTTATCATTCAGTTTGAGGTGAGTTTTAAACACATCTTGAGATACATTTTTTTTTTTAACCCACTAAGAATGTTATTCTCAGAAGTACTTCACCTGACAATGTTGCACGTTCCCCCTCAGGTCGAATTTCCAGAAAAGCACTGGCTCCCTGAAAACATGTTTCCCCAATTGGAGCGACTGCTTCCAAGAAGGGATGATGTAATGGTGACTGATGATATGGAAGAAGTGGATCTCTGTGAAGTGGACATTGAATCGCAGAGAAGAAAATATACCAGAGAAGTCTATGATGAGGATGAAAGTCCCAGGGGCCATGGAGTACAGTGCCAGACTCAGTAAACTCATTTTCAGTGCAACGGTTTATGCAGCAGCTTTTTCATAGTCTTTTTTTCTGTTTTGTTTTGTGCTAATTTTTTGCAAGAGTTGTCCTGGTTTTAGAAGTTGTCTCTTATTGGATATTCTGTTATCAAGCTATTATTGGATAACTTGAAACACTGGCCCCATATGCATAACATCAGCTGGGATTTCCCTTTCACTGAAGCCTTAAATTTTAAATGGAACGGACCAGCACCTGTTTAAATTACAGTCTTCACTTCTAAAGCACCTTAACAAAAGGACTTCCTGCTACCCAACATTTTGAAAAAACAATGTAGTATACTTGGGATATTGTGAAATCCAGTCCCCAATAAATTTCAAAGTGGTATTGTAGTTTGTGCGTGTATCTTCTAAATGTGGGCATGTGTGTTTTGTTCACTTTTATGTCTCCTCTTTAAAATATTATTTATTTTTGTATCCCTTTTTTTCCCCACACATGAAAAAGCTGAAATTCTGAAGATGGGTATTTGTATGCTTTCTATGAAGGTAACACCTCCCTCATGACTCGCTTGTATCTTTGGAAATGTGCTTTTTCTCAAATAAAATGTTATTTCATTCTCTCCCTGCATTCCGGCTGTTGTTTGGCAACTTTAACTTCAAACAACAGTGTGACTAAAATGGTGACATAGATGCTGTAAAAAATAACACTTTTGATTCCCTACATAGCCTTTTAATGGATAATTCTTGAAATAACCATGGGTGTAAATGAGATGTGAGTTAAAGAACTTCCCCACAATGTAAAGGTTCCATACCGATACAAGGTTTTACCAAGAACTATTCATATAAGCCAAGAACCATTAAGGAACCATGTAGGACAAAAGGCAGCTATTTAGAATACATATATTTTTAATACATTTTCTTGCCCTTTTTTTTGTTGACAATACCATTATCAGCATTATTTCCTGTAATTGTCTGGTATGTTTAATCAGTGTCTGTGGTTAATGTACAGAATTTCCTCCTATAGATATGTAAACTCTCTAAATTTAAATTTCTAAAATCCTAGATAATGGTGCCTGCTGCCCTTTTGCTTTAACCCACTATTATGAATTGTTCAGAATTTATTCGTTATAGAATTTAGGGTGCAGTATTCCTTAAATGCAGATCAATAGTATGAATGAGACCCTTTGTCAGAGGTGCCATCTAGACAATCGACTGGGCTTCTAGGAAATGCAGTTCACTTGCAACAAGCTGAGTTTAAGTGCTTTGTACTGATATTCCTAGAGTGATGGGGTGAGAAATTTGATGGTCTGAAGTTAAAAACAATATTAGTGGCTTTTAAATTGTATAAAAAGCACCATACTGTGTCTGAAATTGCTACAAATGTTGTTAAAATGTCAAGATATCTGACTGAAAGCAGGGTTTAGTAGAATTTCAGTAGGTAAGAACTTGTGGGGTTAAAAAAAACAATGCATTCCAACAGAGATGCAATGCTAGGCCTTTATTCTGAAAAAAAGTACGGTAGAAATAACCTTCCGTTTAATCACTGTAGTCACAACACTCATTGTAATCAATGAAACGATAAAGAAACTGGAACAATTTCTTTTTCAAAAGGTCCATTTTCAGTTCTTCTCGTCAGTGTTGCTTTCTTCTGAATGAACAACCTGTTGAAAATGCAAATGGTATAGTGTCAGTGTACAATCAGTCCCAGTGTCGTTCATAGCAATGCAGCTGCAGAGCTGCATTAAATGAGAAGCCCAATATACTTATATGAAGAATTCTGCTTTCTGTATTTCTGTTTGAAATACCAACCCTCAGTCAGCCTGGCCTTTCCTCCCTGTGGGCTGGCACAGCACTGTTGAGCATCCCACACACAACACCACTGTCTGGGCATGACTGAAAACTGTTGTGATTTTATAACAACCTGCAGATAAGATATCATATATACGACATCACTCCCAAGCATAATATACAGCATGTCATAGCAATACAAGTGTAAGTGTGTATTATACCTGGGCATTTCACATCCATGAAGTAGGAGTTTGGACTCTGCACAAGCCTCTTTTTCTTGTGCTGTCTTCTCTCCAACTCAAAGGTGGGATGCAGTAAATCTTTGGCCAGCTGTTACACAAGACACATGAAACCAAACTGACCGGTTAAAACTAGGCTCACATTCAGAATTTACAATTAATATTCATTAGCATGCACTTCATCAACATAAACTACAAACAGTGAGAAACTGCACACAGTGTAATGGACGCTTGTTCACCAAAACACCTGAGGGTCTGAGGATCAGGCCACGTCAGATCACACCCCACCAAGGGTTAAATGAAAGGAAAAGAAACCAAAACAAAGTGTCACAAAATGTATTTATTAACGAATACTAGTATGACAGTGATCCCAGCAAAACTGCAAAAAATAAAGGGGGTCGTTTTCGTCTCGTATGGGCCTACGTAATTTTTAAATAAGCACTTAACGTTACTTAATTCGTGTTTACGTCTTACATTTTATCCAGCCTGGAAAGTACGGACCCGAGTCACACACTGTCAAACTAATTTTCATATTAAGAAAATATACATCGATAAAGCCCAGCAAAATGCGAAGATGTGGGCAAAAAACAGCAAACATGTGGAAACAAGGCCCCCAACACAGCACAGCTCTACTGAAACACGCCATGTGCAACCATAAAGAAACAAGTCCAAATCATAACGTCGGTCTAAGATTTCACTCTTTGCATCGTCACGATATCAGTAACCAGATAAACACGCTCAGTTGGTGCAGCTGTCAACACCGAATGTTTAGGTCTGTTTCAGAAAGAAAGCGGTGTGGACTTACAGGCATTTTCACAAGCGAGTGATTTTCTCCTGCGTAGAGTGTCTGCTCTCCTCGGTACCTGGAGCGTACTGAGCTAGCGCCGCGGTTGCCACGCGCACTTGATAAATCCTCGTTATACTGAAGTGAACGTGCAGACATGTCCAGGCATGCCACCCCATTGCTGTATATGAAATCTCTGATAGTTCACTAGCAAGCTGTGTCATACTGTGTGATCTCATCATGATGTGACTCATTACAGCAGGGTACATCTTGGTTCTTTTGTTTAAAGTTTTAGTGTTTTCAATATTAAATATGTTATAATAATAGAAATACACAAGGGGGAATATGTGGGTTACACCATTTTCAGCTCAAAAAACGAGGCATCATACTCTGAGTCAAAACTCAGATGTGATGTATTTCAGAATACTTAATCCTCCAATAAATTTGTATAAAATGGACATTTTTCTTTGGCACTGGCATTACATACCATATCGACGAAATAAAATGAACATTTCTAACATAAAAATCAAACATAATGACTAAAAAGAACATCATTAATAAAAGGTATATACACAGAACATTGGAAATTATACACAAGACAGCAAATAGCCCCTGAGACTTTGTCTGTTTTAGAAAATACCAAAAACTTTTCTAAGCTGCAGAGGCCTTCAAGTGACCCCTTTGAACCTTAAGCCACAAATAGCCAATTGTATAAACAGGTGTTTGATATGTAGTTTGATGGTGTATTGAAATGCAGCTCGCCCTTTTTAATGATTAGATACGAAAGAGACAACTAGACATTTTAATAGGTCTAATTTAATTGGGTCCAAAAAAGTGATAAATCTTTGGTTTAATGATAGGCAAAACAAGTTATGACACCGCAAAAGAGAGAGAGAGAGAAATACCTCATCCTTGTATAAAGATTGGAATCTTTTTCTTGTATAAAGATTGGAACTTGTACTACAACGTATTCGCATCCAGGTCCAGAGCCTAATGCCCAGGCTGAGTGCACTTTGCCTGTAATAAAAAGCTTTTTTTCTCCAACTGAACCCAGCGTCTGAAGTCTTCTTTGAAAAGTTGAGATAGAATATACTTGCTAGAGGTAAAAATTATAGATAATTTGTTTAACAAATAGTTTGACCTAAGTGATTGGTGTCACTTTACGCTACGACAGTATCACACACAATGCGCACAATATGCAAATAAATGGGATGAACTTTTAAATTGAAGCAAGCAGTCAAAAATAAACTTCATAAACTTAATATGGGAGGATGAAACATTTCACTGCCTTACACAATATTTGCACAAGTGTATTAGGCGTATTATATATGTTCCAAGAAGAAGTTGCTTCCTTTTCATTTAAAGTGTAGGGAATATAAAACTAAACTACATCTCAGAAGAGATCATCAAGGAAGCTGTTTCTGTCGTCATCTGTAGTCAAACTTTATAACTTCTCTTAGAGTTTGCCGAATAATTACTTTATTTGATAAATATTGCATTCGCACATTTTTACTGTCACAACAAGTAAAACATTTCTTGGTTAAAAACGGTTTGATCATTCTGTAATGTTGGTAAGTGACTTTAATTTGTTTTTTTTTTTTAAACAGTAACACGCTACGAGTTTTGATTACTGTTATGGCTCAGGGGGATTTTGTTATCTGGCAACCTCAATGACAACCCACACTTCCTCAAACTACGCAGTATCTACACATGAAGAGCGGTGGACATAACCAGTGCGCTCATGTAAATACAGCACAGCCTCGAGAAATGTTGTGGATCCTCTAATGAAAATACGGAAGAGGCTCCTGAGTCTTAAGTATGAAGAAGATCCAGGGGCAAAAGTGTCTTTTATTTTACTTTTTGTTTGCGAGCCCTCCATGATTTCTTAAAATGAATCTTTTCGTACTGGAAACGTTGTTTAGCGGCAGTTAACATTATTAGTTCATAGTCTAGTAATTACAGGGGATTTTTTCAAAAAATTCTATAAATTAAGCAGTTCAGATGTAAATGACGTCATTCAGAGTGGTTTGATGTGAGATGGTTCATTGTAGAGAAACTTACCAGTCAGAACTGTTCACAGTGGTGGTGATGGGAACCAGACGTCCACCTCTGAAAGCCCCCTCCCTAGAAAGTTTCATGACATGGTTGTGAATACTACGCCTGATGTCTGAGACATTGTTTTGGCTTTAATTGTATTTTAATATATTTATTTTAATCCACACCGCGACCCAGGGGGATAAGCGGTTTAGATGGTGTGTGTGTGTGTGCGTGTGTATTTTAATCCATTTATGGCGGAGGGATACATGCAGGGCGTTGAAAGGCAAAATATTCACTCATTCATTTTGTTAGATTTTACAGTATTTTAAAAACTCAGAAGACACGTGTAGGTTCTCTGGTGGTTTTGGATAGTAAATAAAATCACTATGTGCTGCAGACATTGTGACCCCTGGTTCCTATCACCACCGCTGTAAAGAAAGGCAGCAGGAAATACCTGAAACTGTAGTCCCCCAGAACTAGAGTTAAAGGGCCCAAACCGCAGTGTTTGTGTTCAATTTCTTTCCTCTCATATCCGCTTATAATGTTTGTGTAGGTTTTTTTAGCCAAAAGCAGTCATAATTAAATTTTACATTCCAACCTCTCTTTATCCTTTAGAATTAAACAGGCTGTTTCTGTCAGTGTGCTTTAAGACCGACATGTGTAAAGGACCTCTGCTCTGTTGACTGTCCCGTATTATACCTCACTCTAAAAGCAGTCCCGGCTGAAACTCTCCTCTTAACTCCAGCGTGAATGGGCGGGGCTAAACCGCTGTAGGCTGAGTTGGTGGATATATGTAAATTGGTTGGTTTTCATGACATCGCAAAAACAAGGAATTTAAAACATTCTGTTTTCGCAGTTTCCTTATATGGTCTGGGGAGTGAATGGTGCATGGCGGATCAGACTACATCAATATCTTTTAATACAAAAAGCGATGAAAGGTAGTGGTAGTGATGAAACAAGTTTTTGTCCTGCAGGTGGTGCTGTAGCTTGTGCCAAAAGCCACACTGACGAGACAAGAGGCAGTCATGATTGATGAAAATCATGAAACCTTTTTAACACAACTAAACTAACTGCTGTCCACCGTTGGTTACGATTCACATCTGCCTCCGAAAACTTTATTTTTTTAAGTTTTCTCAATCCAGGTTTAAAAATGGTTCACATGATGAAACTTTCATGCAACTAGTTGCTTGTTGCGAGCTGCCTGCAACATAATGTCATTCCAACTTTACAGTTACACAAAGGAATTAAAAAAAAAGTTGCATGCAACACATTAATTTACTGCACTAGTTAGCTAAAGCAGCAGCTTCTATTTTTTGATACTGTACCATTCTCGCTGTAAAGTCATCCGTTAGGTGTAATTTTTTATGTTGGCAGTATCTTTATCATCTTCCTATTTATTTTTTCATCATTGACATTCTTTTTTTCTATATTTTATTTTATATCTGCTTTTATCTATCTGTATAGGATAAAACACCAATTATTGTTAGAATAGGTGTAAATGAACATAAATACAGTAAAAGTAACAGGATTTTCTTATTTTCATAAAGGTAGTTGATATCTTGTTGGCAAGTTTGAAGAACAAAATTTGGTTCCACATTTCTTATCGATGCCCTCAGCCTTCACATGGATTTGTTAAAGTCCATCATATACACTTAACATAATGTGTATAACATAAGTATTGATCAGATAGACCAGGTATTGAAAGAAAATAATGCACACAAATAATGCAATAAGAAGTTTAGAAATAGTCAAACACTTTGATGCTTGTGAAAACACTACTTATTGTATGAGTGTTCTGAATGCCCTTCCTGAGTTGAAGTGGCTGTTAGAGTAGGAAAAACACAAAGCATGTGCTGGGCCGGGGGTATTTCAGTGTGAGTGGTGGGCTAAAGTGCTGTAAACTGAATACACATATATATATGCAAAAGCACTGATTTTCCTGACATCAGAAAAACAATAAATTAAAAACTATACTTGGACTGTATAGACTGGGTACTGAAAAGTAATACTTAAACAAAGTTTACATTCAATATTTACACCCAATACACTCAATATTTAATAAATGAGGAAAATTAGTTTTCTATGTTATGGTCCCTTTAATGTGATGTATTTTTTGTGTACCAGTCTGTTAAAATGTCTGTTAAAAAAGGTGTTTTCCATGAACAGTGTGCTCATGAGCAGATCCTTTAGGTATAGAGAGGTATTACAGTACATTATACTGGTTAATTAAGCCCATTCAATGTATAGAAAAAAATTATTGGATAAAAGTAAGCAATTAAGCATTAAAAGGGAGCATTATACACAGATTGTACTTGTTGTTAGTTAGCACTGCCTTATACCACAGCTTTCTTACAACCTCTGACTTTTCCCCCAAACCATCTCTTTATCTGCTGGCAGTGTGGTTGCTGTCTCAGCCCTGCACTGTAAAATGAGGTGTTAAAATTACTTTAAGAAATAAAGTAATAGTTTGCATGGATCTTTCAGAGTTGACCCAACTTTCTGTTATTCTAGGTATTGAACATATCTAAGCCACCTAGAATATACTTGAGTAAATTACCACAGTACAACTATGTTAAGTCAACTTATTTTTTCTTTTGCCATTAATTCAAAATAATTAGTTTGAATTTATTCAAGGTTTGTAGTAAATACTGCTAAGTTAAGTCTAAATAAAGGACTATGAATTAAAGTTGTTCCAACTAAACATTTAAGTTCTACCAGCATAGAAAGATCTGTGCAAACTATTGCCTTATTTATTTATTTATTATTATTTTTTTGCTTTCTAATTTCTTAAAATATAAGCCCATATACGTACTACTCAAATAAATCAGTTGTCAGGCAGTAAAAAGACTTACAGATGCCTTTCAATCCTGAAAATTTATTGCATGTTTGAGCTATAAACATAAAATAACACCCAAAAATGTCATAAAATATAATATTTTTAGTGTTGTACTTACATTTATTTGTGCCTTACAGAAGAATTTAAGATTAAATGATTAAACCTAAGATTAAACGTTGAGTGTGAACTGAATTAGTCTTTCCTTTAGGTTTGCTTATTTCATGCACGTTTTGTTGATGTATAGATCCTCACACAACGTAAAAAAGTAAAAAACCATTCAACTGAGAGGACTGTTGAGAATAAAATAATCCATGTTACACACTGACCCCGTTCACACCTCGTCACTTCATGCGATTATCAGGATTCTATCTGGATGAAGCCAAGCCACATAAAAATACGAGTGTCAACGCACCCAAGTCAGACAGGTGGGCTTCCACTGCCCTTCAGCACAGAAACTACAGAGACCATACGCTACCACACGCGCGACGTGACGTCACGCGGCGGAGGCAGCCTCCGTCGGCGCGGCGCTGTGTGAGTCGGTGTCTGTGGAGGAACAACGAAGACAGCCAGCCGGCCAGCCAGCAGCCTTCTGACAGTCACGGCGGAGCACCGGCGTGGTAAATGGCTAAAACCTACGACTATCTCTTCAAGCTCTTGCTCATAGGGGACAGCGGAGTGGGAAAGACATGCCTTCTCTTCAGGTTCAGCGAGGACGCGTTTAACACCACCTTCATTTCTACAATCGGTCAGTTCACCCGGTCGGTGGGTAGCTAACGTTAGTGGAAGTGGGCTAATGCAGCTTCTTTTCTCTCTATAGTCTAGCACATATCTCACAGTACCACTTGATCCATAAGGTATGTTACTTACAAGAGGCAGTTATCTGTGTCTTTGTCACAGTAATTCAGCGAGGAAATCAGCTTATTCAGCAGGCGGTCGCACAGTGGAATCTGTAGTGAATGAAACATCTGGATACAGCCTGCAGGGTTTATCCTTATCTGCGAAACTGTGCACCGGCCTACAGATAATGGGAAACATAACGATTATCACAACCAGAGGGAACAAGACAATGATCATTTAGAACATTTACGGTGGAGGCCAGAATTGACTTAGCTCATTTATGTAAAACCAAGTGTACTATGCATTTTAAACCTTATGCACAAGAATCATAAACTCATGGAAATTAAATATGAGATGCTCCAAGACTGTTCAGTCATGCACAAATTTCAAACAATGTAAATTACAAATGCACTTCATTTTTAGATACATAGGCAGTAGTTATGTGACATGCCAAAAGGAGATATTGGTAAAGATCCCAGATGTCAATTTCATCTGCAGTGCCACCCAACAATTGTACCAGAGCAGCAGAGCATGCATTAAGAACTAGTCAGAAAATACATTTACCCTTTTTTCCCTTTAAAACTGCCCTTTTTATACATAATAATACATTTTTCATTGTTCTATACCTCTTTGTTTGGCTACAGCATAATATACAGTTCCTGTCTAATTTTTAATGTAGACCCTATATTTGCAGCGAGCTGTAGTCCAGGTTTCCGCTTCCAGGTTTTCCGTCCGATTTCAGCACATTTAAATCATCGCCATACTCTCTGCCTTTGTTTAAGATGACGCCTTGAACTTGATGGCCGAGGACTTTCCCGTGGCCTGGAAAGGGTTTTTTTTGTGTTTGAAAATAAGCAAAATGGGGGAAGTTTTAATTGTCTCATTTTGTGCCTCAGTACTCAAACCTCATGTGTTGTTGGCCTAATAATTCTGCAGTGTAGATGCTTGACATTCAGCAGAGATGTTTTATATACCCTGTTCTTTTGAGTTAATGTGTTTTCATTGCACTTTATTTTTTCTTTAAGACCTCCAGTACAATGTCATACATTATGTTGACAGTCAGACTTTTTGTGCTTGTATGACAACAATGGGCTGCAAGGTTCATGGCCAGTTTAGCTGGGAAAGGCTTTATGTCCCACAGAATCAGGCCTGACCATGAACACAGAGCCGCACTGTTTAAAGCCACCTCTGGCTCTCGTGACATTCTGTCACGCCTTCATTCTGCTGACAATTCAGTAGGCAGAGGCCTGATGGGCAGCTACTTCCATGTGCCAGGAGGTGGTTGACCCTGGCTCTGGCCACACTGCAGGCTTCCCTAAATGCCTCAGAGCACGGGAGATATCAACCAGTGCTTCCCGTGACTCACTCACTCCATCTGGGTGAACTCGATTTATCTTACATGTTATTCTACATACAGCAAGACAGCTGCATTAAATAAACCTTCATTTCTAACATAAAGCTTCCCTTTGCAAAAGGCATTGTTTGAAAAGGATGGATATGAATGATAATGGATATGTTTTTTCCAGTTGCTTCCCAGTTAGTCACTGGAGACAAGAGGCTATGCTAACAAGTAGTTTTCTCTAGTTATCTGTGTGCTCACACTTTCCGCTAGAAGGAAAACAAGACAGACAGCTACCTAGCGTACCATTTCCTCTGGGCGTCTCTCTGGGTTTTCAACATTCTCAGCTCAGTAGTTACTTCAAAAGCTATGCTGCAGTTTCAAGTTGTATTAGGTTTAATATTGTTTGCACTGCATGAGACATTAGGAGCTTTTTAAAGATATTTTAAAGAAATGAAGTGTCCTTCTCAGATTGAAATGTCATATGAGTTGCTTGTTCAGATGGCTATATTAACAGTCACTCTAAAAAAAAATAAATAAAAAATGTTTGCTTGATCAGAGCCTGAAGATATGCCAGCATGATGGAGCAGAAGCTAGATTTAGCAGATGGGTATCAGGAGGTGGTTTGGATGACGTGTCAGACGTTGTTAGGAAGCTGTGGTGTAAGGCAGGGCTAACAACTTGTCTTTCTCTCCATCTTGTAGCAGAAAATCTGCATGTAATGAATGCCTTGTCTGTTAAGAAAATGGTCATCCTTAGGAATTCTGTTACAAGTGTATTGGGTGTGGGTGATATGACAATATCGTTAATGCAGTTAATTACAGTACATTATAATATTAGAATATATTGTTCTGAGTATATTGTGGATATTGTCTGTACTTAAATAACATAGATCAACTGCATGATTCATTACAAAGAGGGCATGATCAGTCCTGCTAAATAAGATTTAGTTCAGCACAACATGCAAACCACTGAACAAAAATCATTGTACACATAGTTTTCAATAGTGTTTTTAAATGTGACTCTGTGGGGGCTTTCTTATCAATTTATCAAACCTCAATAAAACTAAATATTGTGATATGCATCAAGTATTGTGTATCGTGAAAATAGCTCCAAGTGTCACGATACTATATTTTTGCCATATCACCTACCCCATTCATAGCTTGGACCTTCCCAATCTTTGTGTGAATCATCCACAATTTTTTTCTCCTTATACCCAAAGGGTCTATCTATGACAACACTGTTTATGGAAAGCACCTTTTTGTCCACACTGAATATTTGAGTATTCTGTTGTGTAAAGTTTGCATGTTAAAGGGGATTTCTGCTAGTTTTTCAAAATTTCTGCAATATTCAGTCTCTGAGATGTAAATAAAGTCATTCAGAGAGGTTCATGTGAAATGGTTAATTGTAGAGAAACCTATCAACTCAGATTTCTCTACAGTGCTAGTAATAAGAACTAGGAGTGACAATGTCTACAACACAAATGTAGGCATTTTATTTACTCTCCAAATCTACCAGTGAACCTACACGTGTTCTGTTTTATAAGTAATGTTAATAATAGTAAAATAGTGGTAAATCTGAAAAATGTTTTTTTGTTTTGGGGACTATTTTTCCACACAAAGCCCTGTGTGTACCACTTTCTATGAATAATTAAAAAATACATTTTGGGCCAAAACATTTATCTCAGAACAGTCAAAAAAACAAGGTCTTAGGTATTAGGCAGTGTATTCATAACCATTTCATGTAAGAACCTTGTGTGAGGGAGCTTTTAGAAACATTAAACTCAGACGTCTGGTTCCTATCACCACCACTGTGAACAGTTCTGTCTGTAAGTTTCTCTAGAGCTGAGCATTTCATGTCAAACCATTCTGAATGACCTTTGTTTACATCTTAACAATTTATTTATGTAGAAATGTTGTAAAATCAGTAAAATTCTCCTTTAAGTCCGCTGTGATTGTCTTTTTTGCTATTATTTTAGGCATTGACTTCAAAATCAGGACTGTAGAGTTGAATGGAAAGAAAATCAAACTGCAGATATGGTAAGTATTGTCATTTTCAGAAATCTTTTTTTTTTTCATTTAAATTTCACAGAATTCAGTGATATTATACTCTCCAAGTGAGATCCAGTTTCTAAAATGGAACTGTAAACCACACCATTTTCAGAATGATGTGCGAGGTGTTTTTATTTCAGGACACTTCAGGGTGGACTCTAGTGTTATCTGCTTATCTGTTACCTGAATACTTAATTCTCAAGTGTTTGTTATTGACTACTGTGATATTGCTGATGTTGCCTAATAATAAGAAGTAATGTACACATTATTCAGAAGTAAAACAGGCAAAGAAACTATGGCGTGGAGCATACAGCGCTGTTTAAACTGTTAGCTAGTGTCATTTTACAATGCATGAGCAGTTCAGGAAGGAGTCAGTGGACTTCCAGAATACTACAGAACTTTGTTATGATCCTGCAACCCACCCAACCCCCTAGTTTTGTTAGATTTCTGAATAAGAGTGAAATGATGTCAGAAGCGAGAATAGTTTTTCCTGTTGGGAGTCAATGCTTACATGCCCAGCCCAGTCATTAGGTGACTAATGTGAAGAAAAGGACATGCACACAATGTTGCAGTAAAAAGAGCCAGCCTGTTCTATTTACAGGATGTGTAGATTGGGAAGGGTGGGCCTGTAAAGCTCCATAGAGAATGCAGGACATGGTGGGTTACAAACTGAGGAAGTGGGGTGAAGATGAATGGCCTTTCTGTCTGGTCCAGTGACGTAAAATGTACGCTGTCTGTCCTGATTACAGGGACACAGCAGGCCAAGAGAGATTTAGGACCATCACAACAGCGTATTACAGAGGAGCCATGGTGAGTCCAAGTCTTCTTCGTCATCACATTGTGCTCCTTTATACATCCACAGTTGAATATAAGATGAAAATGTCTCCCTCTTTATCTCTTTCTCTCTCTTCCAGGGCATTATGTTGGTTTATGATATAACTAGTGAAAAATCGTTTGAAAACATCAAGAATTGGATTCGCAATATTGAAGAGGTGAGTTTGAGGAACCCATGGCAACACAGTAGTAGCAAGATAATATTCTCTGATCGGCATTATCCATCAATCATGACTCATTTACATAGGAATATGAAGAGCATATAAGTAGGATACCCTTATGATATGGATTAATACTGCATGTCTGCATGTCATCAGTTCCAGTCTTTGAGGGCCAGCACAGTTTGAGTGATTTCCCTGCTCCCTTACACTGTTAGAAATAAAGGTACTGTGCAGGTACATTTTTCAGTCATCAAGGTACAAAACAATGTAAACGTATGCTTAAAGGTATACTTGTGAACCTTAAAGTTTTTTCCAGGTGAAAAGTATGTATTTGTACCCTTTCATAACTAGTAAAATAAAAAGCCTGGAGATGAGACGGGATGTGTGGAGTCAGTGCAACTTAGAAAATATAATTTAAATGGATTATGGTACAATTATGTTCACTGACTAAAGGTACTGTGATGAATGCTTGAGGGTACCACCCTAGTGACAAGAGGGGTACTGCCCCAGTGCCAGTTTCATATCTTTATTTCTGAGAGTGAACAAGTGTGCCCCTGGTAATTAACTGATGAGTTGAATTAGGTGTGCTTGAGTAGAACAATCACTTAACTGTGCTGTACTCTGGCCTTCCTGGACAGGAATTGATGACCTCTGCTGTATGTGATTGACTTCCAGTAAACGGCTTTATATTAGTTTAATGTCATGATCAAATCATAAAAATGATACGTCACAGTTTACCAATCCTGAAGTTCGAATACCACTGCAAATTCTGAAATCTGCAGAGGTATTCTAAGCCCAGGATTGGTAAACAGTGGCCCATCATATTAGAGAGTGTTACTTAGACGAAGAGTTCGGCCAGATGTATTGGGAGAAGGAAAAGCACTACAATGTGCAGGGATACTTGAAGACCAGGATTTTAGAATGTTGTGATTATATCACACAATGTGATAAGCTGTTGCCTGTTTATATGTCTATTTTACCACCAAAAGGTGAATAATTTGTGCTGCATGCTTATTACTGTCCTTAGCATGCATCATCAGACGTTGAGAGGATGATCCTTGGAAACAAGTGTGACATGAATGACAGGAGACAGGTGTCTAAGGAGAGAGGAGAAAAGGTACAGCATTTCAAGATTATTCATTACTCTCTTTTTGTACTTATTACAAGTAGTCATAAGTAATTAATATGATAGTAATGTGGGGACAGACCTTTGCATACAGCTAGATTTTTAATACTTATTATGGCTTATGTTTTCTTTTAGCTGGCAATAGATTATGGCATCAAGTTTTTGGAAACTAGCGCAAAAACCAGCGTAAATGTGGAAGATGCCTTTTTCACCCTGGCTAGAGACATTATGGCCCGACTCAACAGAAAAATGGTGAGGCATGCTGTTAACTGGAACTGTTCGCTAACTATTTTTGAAGAACTTCAGCAGTTAAAACAATATAAAGAACCTTAGAACCTACTCTATTGAGTTGCAAATGAATCTGTACTGTTTCATCTCTTCTGAATTATCTTTCCTCTTTATTCCCTTTTCTAGAATGACGGCACTAACTCTGATGGTGGGGCACCGGTTAAGATCACAGAGAAGCGTTCTAAGAAGCACAGCTTCTTCAAGTGTACACTTCTATAATGACAGGATGCACACATGAACTCTATCTCTGTAGCTGCAGAATTGCTCAGCTAATATGAGAGGTCATGTGAGCCTCTTAAGAGACCTGTGCACTCAGGCTTCTATGGAAGCCTCCTCTTCGCACAGTCCACAGGGCAAGTTGGCAAAATAGGATGCCTGTGTTGGAAATATTCAGCTGGTTTATGAAACTGGTTTCTTTGGACCATTTTTGTTTGGGAAAGAGAGTCAAGATTTTAGGGTTTGACTGACTTGCCTCCGTTGATTCGTTAAAAAACAATGCTATAATAAGTTATACATTTTACAACTATTCAACTTTTTGTGTTTTGTAAAGCTTTTATAAGCATAGCACACATACCTTCTAAATATTTGCATTTATCAATGGAACATATTTCAGAATTTCATTAAGGAAGCTTAGACATATGCGTCAGCGTGTGTTAGTGTGTGTTTTGTGTTCTTTTATTCTAACCAAGTGCTCCTCTGTTGCACTGCCATTGTATGAAACAGGACAGAGGATTATGTGTAAAATGTCTAGCCATTTGTGTAATAATAAGGGTTTGAGAGCACCTTATATGATAAGTGGGGCTGACTAAGCTCTCTTATTTTGAGAATGTCTTTGGGTTCTTCCCACAGGCACATAACCATGAATAGCACTGACAGAGATCCTGAACTCCCCTCAATGAGGAGACTCAAATATAGAACATGACAGCTGCAGAACATGACGGGTAGAAGTGCGCTTTACAGTTTGTCTATGTGCCTATTAAGCAGCAGCCAATCAAAACAGACATATATAGCACACATTCTATAAGAATAGTAACATTATTTACATGTATTTCTGATCAATTAATTTATGTTCTGCAATGGACATTTGAGCATGAGTGGCAAAGGTTTACATGTTTGTTGTGGTGTGGCAGAGGGCTGAGGTGGGGTTTGAAATATCTGTGTTTGAATGTATAAGAAAGCCACTAATGCATGCTTTAGTAGTTACACAATGAGCTGTGTCTGTCCTTTTTCATGTTGCCATTTATTGCTGCAATGTATGATAACAGGGCTCCTTCTGTGCTTATTGTTGTTTGATGAAAGCTCAAAGTACATTATGTCACACTAGTACCTCTTTAAAAAAGTGCAGTTGCCAAAAGCAGTATTATAGGTTGTGTTTGTGGTGCGTTGGTGTGAATCCATATCTATACATTCTGCCCACTTAGTAGTAGCATTCATTTCACTGGTGCCAGTGCTATTAATACAGTTGAATTTCTGTGTTAAGAGTAAGTAGCTGAACTGTTTTAGTTGCTGTTGAATGCACTGACGTTTCAGAAGAGGAAACAAGTTAAGAGACATGAGTCAGCAATAAAAAGTTCTTGTTAGGATCCTTGTTTCCTCCTGCCACTTCTCCAGCTGAGGCCTTGAAACTGTTGTCTGTACATGAGTGTTTTGCTCTCTGGATCTTCAAGGTCAGTTTGACAGAAACTGCAGGAAAGTTCTGGAAGACTACTTTGAAGCTTGCCACAGAATACAGACAAATGTAGCATATTATTCCAACACTGATGTTCAGAAGGGACCGTTGCTATGCACGTTTAATCCATACGTATCTGTGGCAGTGTCCTGATTTTACAGATTTGAATGAGGTTTTGTGAAGTATTGCTGTCAATGTACTGCCATCTATCAATTCAGTAAGGAAGTGCTTTCTCAAACAACCTACCCATCTGGTAGGCTAATGATTGTTTAAAAAAAGAAAGAAAGTATAACCTATTTTAAGTGTGATTTTTATTAATTGTGAACTTTTTGTACCACATATAACCAAAGTAAATGTTGCATAATGTGCTAAATGTGTGCTTTCTGTTTCCTGATTATCCAAAGTGCTGTCACATAACATGAACCACATTCATACAGTTCACCTTCAGAGACACCAGGGGGCACTGCAGTGCTGTGTGAGCGCTGCTGTTTTTGAAAATCAGTACTGAACAGGATCGAACATTTAGGCTGATGAATTTTACATGAGGCTGCATTTTGTTTAGTTTTATAACTTATAAATGTAAATGTACAACAAGTTTTCCACTGTAACAACAACATATTAAGAATTGTGATTATTACTTAGCTATGCTAAATGAATAGCAAAGGGAATGTGAGCTGCTTCTCTAATGTTTGTGAACTGGCAGTTCTGAGTTTGTTCTGCTCCGAGTTTGTGGCAGGTTAAGTTACCAGTAATAAGCAAAATGTGTGACTTTACAGTACCCTTAAAGGCGCACTCTAGTCAAAATAAAAAATGTAACCGTTATTACATCAGCTGTTAAAATGCATACTTGCCCCCGACAGTGGTGCCACAGTATCTAGAGTGAGATTTTCTGGTTAAAAACTAGTAAAAAACCCCTTCATGATTACATCCTAAAGGTGGGATACATCTTGAATGTGGGAACTTTTAAAAAACTACATGTATTTGGGGTGAATATGTGAGGGTGGGCTGTTTGATATTTTTCCCCCACTTGCTGGCTAATGCAGAAGGAAGCCAGATTGATGCTAGGATGTCTTTACTGATAAATATTATGCCTGTATTTATAAATACAAATATATGTTTACTATAGTCAGGATTTTTATATTGCTGTGGGAGATTCCTGGTGGTTATATGATGTACTTGCATAATGCATACTGGGTATTGTAGTGAACGTATATTGATGGCTAAAAACACAAAAAAGCATACGAACTTGAGATCTGTCAAATCAATGAGGCTGAGGAATGCAATTTTTTTGCTACAGAATATTACATAACCTGACAGATTAAATATTAAATGCTAATTTTATGCCCCTTTAATTCACAACACTGCTCAGAACCGTGTTGCCAAAAAACATTACCTTGTAGCATGTAAAGGTGAAATATAAGCAAGAACTATACATTGGGAATTATTGCCTTAGTCTTGTCTTAAGGGTAATCAACAGATATTACAAATATCCCTTACATATGAAGTAAATATAACACTGAAACCAAGTCATAATGTGTCAGAGAACATAATAACTGCATAAATATTGTGTTCCAAGAGGATATACTGCTGCATGCCCTTCATCATTTCTCATAATTAGCAGTCTGTCTGGTCTGCCGTCTTAAGATCTATCTCATTCTTCAGCTCCTCCTCACTTGACTCTTTTACAGATATTTTATCAGGCTTGTCAAGGGAACCTCCGCTTGAGAGGTCTCTTTCACTGCAGGAACCGCGGGGCTTGTCCCTGCTTTTCTCCAAAGATTTGCGTTGTTTTTTGTTCCAGCTCTTGGATCTTCCAGGAAGGATCATTCTCTCTTCAGGAACACTAAGGTAGCAAGAGTCAGGTACATTCTCATCATTCTCATACATTTTTGCTTCTTCTGCAGCATTCATGTGTCCTTCATGGCTGCCTGTTTGGTCTCTGTCTCTCTCTTCTGCATTGTCCTCCACTTTTAGATTTACATCTGGGCCATCACCGTTTCTGCCCTCTTGGTTAACCTCGCTCTCCTCTACCTTGCTTTCCCCGTGTTCATCTTTCTGGGGTCTCTCCTCTGGCCGTCTTTCCTCCATGTGAATGGATGGAACTTTTAGTCTATGCTGGCCCTCGGACTGATCTGCTTCACTTTGGTGTCCACTTGGAGGCGTGATCATTGATACTTTAGGTGCTTGGCCAAAAAGGCTGGGGTGAACTTTATATTCAAAGCCGGCACTCCAACGCCTCACATTCGAGGACCCTTCAGTCCCTTGTTCTGGAGAGCTGGGGTCTTTGAAAGGGTCATCGTCCCTGTTTGCTGGGTCGAACAAGATGGTGCTTCTAGACTTCCGTGCCGAAGAGGGTGAAGTGCTTAGTGTTTCTGATGGGTAGTATCTGAACGCCTTTACCTTTTCTAAGGGGAAGGAGATGGCAGCATCAAGCTTAGCCCTTTCAAACGTTATATCTCTTTTAGCTGCAGAGTTATCCTGGTAAGCTTGACCAACTGGGACAGACTGAATAGGTTTTGCTTCCTGCGCCTCTCCAGCCTGATTCGGATCTTCATGTTTCACATCACAAGGGGAAATCCGGATGTCCACACATGAGGGTGGGCGGCTCCTTAGTACTGGGACCTCTACCTCCAAATTCGGTCCATACTCCTTAGGAGCGAGGGTTGTGATGCTGGACGCCTTGCCCATTCTGCTCAGTTTCACTGGGGCCAGCTGGCCTGCTTTGCTTCCCTCCTTCTCTTCAGTGGGGGGGCAATCATCCAGGTAGTAACGATAAAGACTGTACCCATCAGCACTGTTAATGCTGCTGGTGCGGAGGAGACAAGGAGGGCCACACACTGAAGAAGCTCCTGACCGTGTCCGGGTCAATTCAGCATGGTCAATCCCAACCAGCTTCTCCAAGGCATTCATCATGCGAGAGTGGATGTCTTCTAACTGGGCCAGCCTAAGGTCAACCGTCTGCAGGGAAGCCTTCATCGTGTTCTCCCTCTCGTTGACCTCCTCCAGACGCATGGACATGTTTTCCACTCTGTCAAGAAACAAACAGGGCTTGTCCAAATTCACAGACTTTGAAAAAGTTAATTTCAATGCCTTGTTAATATCAGTAGCAAACCCACAAGAACATCGTGTTCTGCTAGTACCTGTCAGATGTCACCCTTATCCTTTCGTCATTTGAGTTCTGCTGCTCATCATCTTTCCCTCTGAAGTACTCTTCCACACACTGCTCCTCAAATTCATACAGAGACTTCAGCTCTTCAGTGTTCAGGATAAGCTCTTGGGAAACAAAGGGAAAACCAGTCAATATAACGTGATAGTCTTTTTTTCCTTTTATTCATAAGTTGCAAATATTATTGTTTTTTTTATCTTTTATTAATAAGTTGCAAATATTAATTCATGTTATTTAATATTAATATAAATAAGCATTATTAAATGATATTAGAATTATTTTATAAATTATATTATAAAGAAAATTATTAAAGCACAGTAGCTTTTCAATTTCTGTCAAATTTTTTATACATTTTAGTCACTTTCCAAAATTGTCCCAAAAAGGGCTTGAAAAGCATAATTATGACCACCTTTCAATTGACAGCCTGTGTCAAATATAACTGTGCAGTTTGTAGTCAAGTATGGAGCATCACACTAACACAACCTTACATGACTTATGAATTCAGTTATTTGAATATATGGAAATGTGAACTCATCTTCAAAAACTAAACAGTTTGTATGTAAGAACTTTTTTTCTTTGTCTTTTTATCAGTCAGCTTGGCAGAAAATAAGCTAACAGACTTTCAAAAAATATTGCTAGGCTTTAACCTTAAATAATTTATTTACTGAAGCATTCACTGAAAAAGTCAGGAGTACATAATAGTATGACATGCTTTAAATGTCAGTTTACAGCTGTCATAAGCAGTAAAGAAAGGAAAGTGAATGAACAGCTATGTTAGCTTACTGCTAACATATTACGGTAAATTCTAAGTAGGCGCAAGCAGAAATAGGCATTATGCCATCAGGGTTAAATGCCTAAACAAAAGCAGTTTTAATGTAAGATCAAGATAGTTTGTGATCTTTTATTTATTTTTTTAATATAAGGTCATTTGTGGTTCACTGTAGTCAGATAGTGTTATGTGAGACATTTAAAACAACAGCAAATAAAATGTAATTCACTCACTCAGTCCTTTGTCCTTCTCGTCCAGCTCTCCCTCCTTTTTCTTGCCACAGCGGCAGCAGACCCTTCTGAAGAAGATGTAGAGGTGGCTGAGGATGATGAGAGGGGGAGGAAGCACTGGTCTGTCATGGAAAGTCATGATTAGCTGATAGCGCTGGAACTTCCACACCTGGTTCGAGATGGACTTCACCTCAAAGAAGGTGTTGCTGTTAGGGAAGTAAATGTGATGAATATTGTATTACCAATGCCCATGACTGACTATAGCACAAATATGTCAAACACACCTTCAGCAGTTCAGTAATCTATATCTATAAATATATTCATACAATGAAGATATTCATAATACCTTAAGTTATATCTCTGTATTAATGTATACACTTACTTAAATACAGCAATTAGCAAGTTGACAAGGAGTATATTAGCCACTAGCAAGTAGCAGGCCATGATGGCTGGAGTGAGCCAGGCACCAGGAATGCAGGGCGGAAGTTTCTTTCCATCTTCATCATACATATTTTCTCCACAGGGGGCTGAGGGAAGACCTTACATCTCAGTCCTGAACACTAGTGGTAACTTCATTTTTCAAATTGAAAGGCCATCAAAACTAAACTAGTATTCACAGTTCACTTACGATTTATTTCCATGGCATAAACTGCAGAAACGTTCCAGAGAAATAAATTCATGGAAACAGAAAAAAAGAGAACAACAACAAAAAAAACAGTGCATGTTCAAAACAGCCACAGTCATAGCTAAAGTGTACCGAAGCAAGAGATTCATTAGGAATTTATTAGGAATTGAATGATTTATTAGGAATTAAAGGATTTATTAGGAATTGTGTAGGGAGACATTTCCTGTAAAGATAAACCATTTTTGTGCATGTGTTTAGGATAATGATGGATAAACCTATGCACAGTTAGAGGTCATAAACTGGAACAGCAGTCAGTTTTGTTTTAATACACGAAAAGGAAATCTTAAATTAACAAAATTGACAAAAAATGAAAACAAATAACCCTAGAAAAGGTCTAGGTAATAATTCCTAAGAATGTAGTGTTTTAGATAAAATTTCAGGTTTAATTAGACCACAGCCATTCAGCAAATGATTTCACCCCATTTTTATAATCAGTAGAGAAAATGGGATTGTTTGAGGGCATCTTACCCTGGGGGGCTTCTTTCCCCAAGATACCTTATAATTCCTAATAAATCCTTCATCTCTTGCTATATGCACCATGTATCACTCAAACTGCAACCCATGCCAAGCTATCCTCTTCAAAGTGTTGTTAGACTAAACACTTAGAGATATATATAACTATTTAAACCATGAACAGAGTGCTAAGTACTCATAATCTCTCACATTAAACTATTTAATTTGAATGACATACTGCTCAGTATAGGGGACAATGTGATGTTGATCAAGAAGCAATGTATGAAAAATTACATACTTATGTATGTAATGTGGCAATGTAACCAGAGTATACATCAACTGGGTAAGACACCGGAAGGATAAACATGCTAATGGGACTGAATGTCTACCCTGGAGGCAGGAAAAAGAATCTTACTATCAATTCTAGTCTTACGGTCTATTGAATCCGCAAACACCTCTCCGTAGATCATCCAGTAAGGCATGTAGAAGATGTTCCGGGCCAGGCGCCAGGTAGGCTCTTCATCAGGGTGCAGGATGGCCTGCCGTGCTACACCAAAACTCATCAGAACCACCAGCATGATCACCACAAAGTACAGCATGTCAATCATCTGAAAAACACAACAGCACAGGGTATAAGGTGAGTACAGTCAGACAAACCTGTTTTTTACTCTTTCTTTGAAAAATTAATCATGTAACTTCTCACGGGTCTAAAGTTTAACATTTAAATAGAAAATAGAAAGTCTAAGGTGGAATGACCTGCTGAGGCCTGCTAGAATAATCCAAATGCCAAAAGCACAGCACCTTAAACCAATAGTATCAATTTGCATTGTATCTAACATTTCTTACCATTTTTCCAATCATCATGACGTAAGGTCCGAGGTACTTGTTGACACCAAAAATATCGAGCACACGAATGTACCAGAAGATGATGTCCACGCAGTAGATAACCCTGCCATAGCCCATATATGGTTCAGGCTGCAGTCTGAGGAGAAGACCAAGCATGAACGTAGAGATGGCCACCAGGTCAGTGATGTTCCAGTACTCCTCCAGCCACACGCTGATCTTCTGCCTCAGCTTACCAGGCTCTGACATCAGGATCTAGCAGATACCAGAATACTTTTGCATTAGCACTTGTAATTTAACTCTAAATGAATTCCTTTTTATTATGCCTTTTCTCCCAATTTAATTGTTTACAGTGTAAACATGCCTTTCTGTGGCATTAGAGAAATTATTGTACACTGTTAGGTATGACACAAACTCAGCTTGGTCAATCTGCTCAGTTTACTTTCTATATTCTAAAGCTCTGTACCAGGTTTTCAGTTCACAGCCTTCAAGGTCTAGTTACAAAATTTCCATATTATTTTCACCTAAAGTAAATGTGTGTGGACAAAGTGGCCAACCAGGTACATTGTTCGGTTAACTAATACTGCTTGAAATTCCAGTTAAAATCATGGTTAAAATGACTAAAATTATTTAACAGTGTTATGTCATTTCTATTACACCGTCACATTTTCACTTTATTGCGGCTCTACAAATGCGTCATCCGTCCAGGGACAACAGACGAAATTTACCCCTAATCGGACTCTGGGACAAATAATACTCTGTCTATTGTCTTTGTCTCCTAACAATAAAAGCAAACATACATAATTAGAAAGCAGCCCTGTCATCCTTTCCTCCTAACAGAGTAATTGCATTTTGACACCTAGATGTTGAAGGCAACTACCAGCACAACCAACACTAGAATTTTTTCACTCAGAGATGAGTTATACCAGAAGTGTTGAAATTGGCTGTTCTATATTAATTAACTGAATTTGAATATGTTGAATTAACTTTTTGTCTTTTTGTCTACTTAAGTCAAACTGGCTCTGCCTCACTGATTTTAACTTTGTAATTTCTTTATTCATTGTTAGATTCAATGCTTTTCAGTACACTACAAGTATTGCATTGTCTCACCTGTCTAACTTTCTCTAAGCCCAGTGTCAGTATGTATGAGATAACTAGCCACTCTTGTTGTGATGGCCAGCGTTCCATCTTCACCAGGACAATGTAATTGTACAGCATGAGATACACAAGGTAGGATATCTGCCAAAAAATATGAGGCAAATTTACACATATAAAAGTTTGCAGTTCTTTCTTAATGACATTGTGTTTACATAAATGTTGATCATTAAACCATATGAAAATAATACCAACAGTGTTAAACCAAAACTTGGTGAAAGGAGCATTGTAGAACTCATAGATCTTCCTTCCGATGGGTACCCGCTTCAGTTTCTTGCTGCCTTCTTCTTCATCACCTTTCTTAGAGTGTGTGTCTGCATTGGCATCCTGGAAGAACATTGGGCAGGGTTTTAAGAAGCTGGAATATTTTGGGAATTTTAACTGATTGTTATTGTTTTACATGCAGTATTGAAATAACCTTACCAAAGCAATTCATATCAATAACTGTCATAGATAAGAGTGTATATTGTCGCTGTCCAATGAAAAACATGTATCTCCATTTTTTGAGATTTTTACTTTTCTGCATCATTTGAGCTCAGCAGTTGTCCTTTACATTGTGTGAAAATTTCATGATGACTGGACCAATAGAAATGCTCCAAAATTGCTTAGAATAAAATCTCTTTCCATTAACTCAAATTGAAAGTAAAGAACGTTTTTGCCTTCTCCTGTAAAGTTATTATTTTGGAGATACCTGTTTTTCTTTGGACAGCGACGATATGCTTGTTGGACATCATGATATTATATTATGATACTATATTAACCTTTTATTGTCAATTAAAAGGGCAGTCATGGGCTGGAGGTTAGGGAACCAGCCTTTGCCTTGTGACCAGAAGGTCATTGGTTCGCTCCTCAGAGCTGACAAGACATGACTTAAGTGCCCTTGAGCAAGGCACCTAACCCCCAACTGCTCACCAGGCACTGCGATTAGGACTGCCCACCACTCTGGGAATGTGTGCTTGCTGCCCCCTAGTATCTGCATTCACTAGTGCATGTGTATGTGGGTGTTCCACTGCACGGACGGGTTAAATGCGGATGTCAAATTCCTCTGTGTGCAATCACAATTGGTCAATGGTTCTTAAAAAATGTAATAATAATAATCTTTTTTATATGTAGCAAATTTTAAAAAAGTGTTGAAATGATTTTTGTAATAAAGAAAATTACTGAATTATTGTGGTTTAGGCTAATGCTCTGCCCGTGAAACACACATAGGCCTACTAAATATATTGTAGTCAACCCCTTAAAATTCCGGGCTTATTAAATACTGAGGCTTATTATTCAGTAACTACAGGGACTTCAATGCAAACTAGCTGGGCTAATGTTAGGTTAGAGAAGCGTGTAATAAAACTTTGGGTCTGCCGGTGGGCCCATGGCTTTATGTTAAGAGTGAAGATCTGAAGATGTGAAGAGACAAACAGTGTAGTTACCCTGCTGGATTTGTTGTCATCGTCCTTTTCCTTGCTATCCTCATTATCATCTTGGTGTGCGTCATCACCCAGACGGAAATCCAGCAGCAGGATAGAGGGAGGGACAATGATGCCAGCAATCACCTGGACACAAAGGGTTTTGAGAAATATGCCAGAAATTAGAAAGAGAAAAACAGACAACTACCTATGTGCCTAGATTAGCATTTAATTGTGGAAAACTGTGTAATTCTGTATCAGTGAAAGTATATAAATTAAAATCAAAGAGAAATGTTATTACAAAGACATATGTTTTGAAGTGTCAGTTTCAAAACTACACAGAACCTTGAGTCCAGGGTTTTTGCCAACCCTCAGGCAGCCCATCCACATGTCAGTGAGGAGCATCTGGCTGCAGGTGTGGGCGATGAAGTCTCTGTGCTTGGCAGCTACAGCCAACTTCAGACAGGTGGACTTGCTCCAGTTCTTAAGCTCATAAGTCAGCAGTTTCATGGCCACCTGCTCATCATGTTTGTAGGCCTGGTCCAGAAGCTCATATGCCAAAGTTCCAAATTCCCTTAAAGTGAAATAAGATGTTGAATATGATTTTGTGAATGGCCATGATACAGCAAGAGTGGAGGATAACATTGGTAGTTTGATAAAAGCTAGGAATATAAATGTTCAAAGTGTTAAAAGTTTATGTTTCTCCATTTGCATATTCTATGTTCCAGGTCATTTACTTACTTGGAGCTGTTATCCAGATCCTGAGAAATGTCATCCACCAACTCACTCACTGAGGACTCATGGGCCATAGCTTTGTAGAGCTTGCATGCTACCAATGCCTTAGCCATGGCCTCCTCTCCTCTCTGCCACAGGAAAAGTGCCATCTTTTGCCTCCTCATTAGCACTGCCCACACTATCAGCTCATGGAATGGGTAATGGAAACGGCTGACCTCAGGGTCATCCACATCAATATCTACCTCCTCCTCTTTTTTTTTCTTTCGCTTCTTACCTTTCGGTCTTGGTTCATCATCCTAGAAGAGTTGATAGTAAGTCAGTTATTGCAAGCAAGACAGAATTTGTCAACAGTGACATACTGTGACAAATCGAGAGAAGAAAAGAATAAGAAGGAGTGGAACATTAGTCGTACCTCCATACCAAGGAGTTTTAGAGCTTTTGGCTGTAAATATGAAGATGTAAGACATATGTTAGACTCTTCAATGTTGATAGTGCAGACATGCCAGTGATGTAGACATTTGTTTCTCTCACCCTTTTAAGGCCATAAAGGTTGTTGTAGAGGGAACGGAAGCTTTTCCTTGTGTAGTTACAGCGGTAGGCTCCACCCATTAGGTACTCTACCACCAGGCCTATGTCAATCAGTGTAATCTGATAGTCTGGTGGGAGGTTCCCCTACAACATTATAAAGGACAGTCATAAACATTTTTGAGAGCTATTCATATTTTGCATATTTTTTTTACCTTTACGTGGAGTTTCTTAAAAATAACGTATTCCTTGTGTGAATAAACTTACTTTTTTAACTTCCCGGACTATAGCATTCAACGTGTTGGCAGGCCCAAGTTTCTGAAGAGAGCAACAACAAGAAGAGCACACAAAAAATGAGTTTTTTGCAAATAATGAATGAAAAAGGGAAGAATGAACAAATAATCCCCACGTAGCATTAGGGTTAGTGAATTCTTTGTGAGGATTAAAAATGTTAATTTCATAAACTATTGTGCCGCTTTTCCTGTAAGAGCCAGATGAGTGGTGATCAGCATGCTCACTGTGTTATATAACTCCTCCAGGCGTGGGATGGTGAGGAAGTGGTGAATGTTGACCCCATTTTCAATCAGCAGCTTGACAAAGTCTACTCTGTCCAACACCAGTGCGTCCATCATTGCCTGCTCCAATGAGTTCACCTGAGGAGGGCGCCAGTGGGTAAAGAAGTACATGTCCATTTCAGTTTGCTTGACCCATGGTAGCTTAACCCGTGGTTGTTATAAGGATTTTATTAAAACTGCTGTTGTGTGTTGATTAGTGTAATTATTAGCATTTTGAGAGCTATGTCTGGGATCATGGTGAACTTATTCTATAATTGTAGGTACCTGACACAATGGTGGGATATAACTTTGAGGCATTTTCATAAATATGGATTTTTAATTGTTATCATCTTAATACATTAGCATATTTTACAAAATAACAGTTATATCTTGAAAGAGCCATACATTTTGCACACAAAAAAGATATCACTTAAAACCTAGCTTTCTAGTTCTTCTCTTCTTGTCTGATTTTGTGAAGTCTTCCCTCCTATTTTGCCAAATAAATTACTAGGTGGATAAATAATGGCTTTTCGGTTAATAGCTAGGCAGAACATAAGCATGACAAGTAGAAATTTATTGTAATTATAATTGGTATTTATTGTGAAATTGTTTATATTGGTGTTAACTGCTTTTGTCCATTACGAATGTAATTAGTCACAATTTGAGAGCTTTCACCATTAGAAAAGAAAGTTTACAGTACAATGTAGTGCAGTATAATTTCATTTTATATTGTCTGTCATACTTACCCAGTTGAGTAATTCCAACTTTCTGGGATCTGTTTCTTCTGGAACTTCTGCCTTTGCCTTGCCCCCCTTGCCCTTCTTGGCTCTGCTCCTACTCTTGGCCTGAGGGCCTCCAGCGGCGCTCTTTGGCTTCTCCTTTACGGACTGCACCGTGGGGGCTGTAGCACTGGCTACTGCACTTGGAGGCTAAAAAATCAATTAAACTATTGAGATCACTAATTAGGGACAAACTAAAGGAATCGTTCAATTAAAGAATTTTCTCCTTACAACAAACGTTGATCAGCCAAGACATGTTTGGTATCCAGTGTTTGTTTCTTAGTAGTAGAAATTGTACAAGTAATACAAATAATAGAGTAAAAAGATTTTGGGTGTCATAGACTTCTGTCACTTGATAGCTACGTTAGCTCCAATGTAAAACTAAAGAAGGAAGGTTTGGACACCAAACATGCTTTGGCTTATTGACTATGTTTGGGGCAAGGAAAAAAAAAATTAAATTTCAAGTTTTGGTGAACCTATCCTCTGAATGATCTGTGCATTCTTAAACATGACAAAATAGTAGTTTTGGGAGAAATCTTTGTGACTTTGTGCATTCACTCACTGGCAGGTTGTGTCCATACACAAAGATTTGGTTGCGTGCTATGTCCACTCTGTTCCAGGCCAGAGCCAAGCTCAGCTGGTCTGGGGCCGAGGCATTTGTGCCTGAGTGGGCACAGAACACACGCATTGGTGATTTATGAGTTATCCAGCAACTGTTCTTTTAAGCTGTATTTAGAAGCTTTTTTGGGAAGTCGGAAGTGTACCTTTAAGTAAAGCCGTTAAGATGGCCATCTCAAAGTCCTGCTGTCCCTCTCGAAAGTCCGCTGCACCCATTCGAAAGACTGTAATCTGTGGCAGAAGTTTAGATGAGGACAGTTTATGCTAGTGATTTTTTCCCTTACAACTTTCCTCCGATGAATGAATGAAGAAATGAATTAAACAAATGATTCTCTCAGTGACAGCCTAAAAACAGACAGAGCCAATCAAATGTAGGCATGTCATGTCACTTAACAAAGCAAAATTGCTTCTCCAGAGCATCTCAACACCCTCTTTAATGCATAACATACCCTACAAATTCCCCCACCTAAATGGAGAAAAAGGATTTCCTTGTTTAAGATGGCTTGTATCAAATACAATTGCTTCAGGGACCCAGTCACATGTCTAACAGCGTTAAGTGTGATTAAATTGGTGTGGATATATGGCATTATGCCAATAAGTTCTAGCTTGCACCATTAATGAGAAGCTTAACTGTTTAGTGTGACTGGACCCTCGTGGTTACAATGAGGTAGTGAAGGGAAAACTCAGAGTGAACCATCTGTATTTAGGATTCTGGAGACAAAACCAGATGTACATGTTCCTGTGTCTATTTCAGTTTGGATCCTTTGAGGTTAAACATGATAGTAATACTTGATCCTGAGAAATGTAAACTTAATCGTGTTTAGTACACACATAAAAATAAAATCACATTTTTAACATTTTAACAGTGCATACCAGTACTTTATGAAATTATGCAGTACTGTGCAAAGGTCTTAGGCATTAAAGCAAATAGTGAAACCATTTATCTCACTAGAAAGCATGTTGTGCCAGTAAAACTCCATATAACAGTACAATAAAAGCAAACAAACATAAATACAGTTAAAAAAAAAAATAGCTGACATGATCGGGTCAGAAGAAACAAGTTTGGTTCCTCAATGCCTCAAGCTATTGTATAGATTTATTAGATCCCATCAACATTGATGTCATTTGTATTTATTTATAATATTGGTGTTTCTGAGCCTAGATAAATAGATTTTTACATATAATTATCTCAAGCACTTGAGACCTTTGCACAGTACTGTATATAATAAAATGGTAGGTCAAGGGCTTTGAGAAAAGGAACATTAAACCTCCTGTTGCTTAGTACTAATACTTGAGCCTGGTGAAAAAGGCCTCAACATGCTTCATGTCACCACATCATCATGTCTTATTTTAAAAGATATTGTAGGTATTCATTTTTAATTTGACACATCGAAATATATCACACTGGAATTTACTATGCCTGAAACAGACTCAGGTATTAGAGAGAGTGGAGGAGATGCTTAGAATGGATTACAGGGAGATGGAGCCCCGCTGTATGTATGGGGCAGGAAGGGGATGAATGAACATGGAGCTGGTGGTGGGAGCAGGTGGCGCTGTGCTGATCCTAGTCCAGATGCATAGAACTGGAGATTATCTCCTGTCGCAAGAGGTATTAGAAACTACTTATCACATCACTTACCATCTGCAAAATCTGCTGCAGTAGCATAAACACTGTTGCCGCAGACCATGGTCACCACAGAAGACCCCTTGGGGTTTAGCAAGCTGCTGACTGTGAAAATCACTAGATATTCCTGCTTCACTCTGGAGAATTCTTGTTTAAACTACTCCATAAAGTTCTCAATGTGCTTTCCTGTATGGATGATATGCCTGAGGATCTAAACTACATGTGAGCTGCAATCATGAAAGATGAGATGTAGTGAATATAATGAATCCACACAATTCAGGAAAATACAAAAGGGAAAGGGAAAATGTCTTTATTTACAAATGACTGGATCAGGAAGGTGACTTTATTTGTAATTGATTGCATGGAAAGAACACAAGGATTGAAAATGCAGGACAACGAACTTTACGATAGTATTTATTTGTAAATTGCTGAATGCAATACAATCAAATACCAATACTGCACAGTGTTTTAAGTTAATGAAAAGCTATATTTAATTGACATCTATACTAATTACAATATCACATTGCTATTTTGTTTACCCATCTATGTCAACATTTTTCTCAGTGATTCTATGCACATTGGCGTACTGCCCATGCCCCCCTTAAACAGGTTCAACATTTTTCTTCATCTATGAACTCTATAGTCAAATCTATAAAACACCTTCATACAATTATGTATTACAACGATATAGATAAACTATAGTGATAACATATTCCATGTGTAAATCTTTAAAAAGCTGTATAACCATTTTCCAAAATAGTCTGTATTCTATATCTAAATTTATATCTATATCTGTAATCTATGTCTAACTAACTCTACAGATAACTCCTATTTTTTCTGATAATTGTTTCATATGCATACTCACCAGCTCTCTTTTCTTCATGCATTCCATGATCATGAGGAAGATCTGCTGGGACTGGCCCTTGTTGTAGTTAAATGTCTTCTGAATGGTGACCAGCAGCTGGTCTCGGGCATCGTCAGTTATTATTCTAGAAATATTAACACCTACTTTAGTAAACTGACCATTCATTTATCGCCAGCAAGCTACTGGCTCTTACTGTAGCAAACTGACATCAAAGTGATGGTTTTAATATTAGGTGCCTGGCTTACCCTCCCTTCTGTGAGTGTTTGTGGGCAAAGGAGATGATGTCTGAGGCACGGCCACTGCCATCACACACCACCACAGGCACGGGAGGCTCCTCGCGCAAGCTCTCCAGTACCACAGTGATCATGTTCGGACCTCCTTCCACGATCAGACACAAGAGTGGCACTCCCTGACCTAAACCTTGGTGACAAGAAAATTATACGTCTGCTTAAAATATGTACGACCCAAATGAGAGTGACTGTTTGTGGTGTGATGTTTCCTTTGAATGTACAAACACTTTCAAGCAAAATTTAACAGCATAAAGTTCCTTAAGCTGCAGCTTGAAAGCCTTGGCTATGCATGTGTAGAGATTTTTTTCAATAAACTACTTTTTTGTAATAAAAATAGCCAGTGGGAACTGACATTAACTAACATTTGGGGGAAAACTGGATAAAAAGTGGTTCAGGAGGTGATGTGAGTGGTGACAGCTGAGCATCCCTTTGCTGTCCCTGCCTTATCCCAAGCTCCAGGCATAGGATGACAAAGGGAAACCCACAGGTCACAGACAAGAGCATCTCAGTCCACTGATCAGCCATGAAAATATCCACCAGTACTTTCCAGCTGATTGATGTACAGAAAACAGAACGATCTATCAGCCATTTCAACATACGACATTCTCAAGCTGTCAAAATGTAGCCATAAACAAAGATTTAAGTTGAGGAGATCAGTGCATTAGTGGGTGAGGCATAGCATTACTGGTTTGCCTGAACATACTTACGAGTGTTAATCTTCTGCAGAGAGATGTGCTTCTCCAGCTGCCTGCGCAGTTTGACCTCCGCCCCGTATTTACCACATGTGCCGTTATCGCACAGGATGAAGTGAGAGTGACTGCTGCTGAGCACAGCCAGCTTGCTTAGAGGATTGGACATTGCCTGGTAAGGTTTGGTCACCTGAAGAAGTCCAAAGATATCAGTTAACAAGCAAAGTGGTCCTAGATTCTGGATTTAGTACCTCCCTGAGAACACTCATCTCTGGAGTCACAGTCAAGACTCTGTATTGTGCATTGTACTCAAACTCACATCTCTTCCCAGGAGATCTTCCTTGCTTTCTAGGATTCCCCATGGAGCAATCCCTATGGCACAGACCTTGCCTCTGGATTTAGAGGAGTGGTCTTTCAATGCATCTCCAACATGACGCATTACCCCTGAAAGAGGGCAAACGGTACAACATACTTTGGTCATTTTATCCATCTCCTGTGTGGTGAAGCCCATGTTTAACTATAATTCAGAAAGTCTTTAAAGAAAGCTTAGTAAACATAGTAAGTTATGTAATGTGATTTGTTAGTTCTAACTGCTAAATATACCCACCTGTGTTAATTCCAGCAGTGAAGATCCAGGCTCCGGTAGTCACTGCAGCCTTTATCAAGCCTTTTCCAAACACCTGCTTGAGTTTTGGTTGCAGGTCAAAGTTCTGGAGGCCTCCATGAACAGATATGAGTAATGTAGGTAGCTCCAGGTGCCAGTCTTTCACCATGAGGTGCAACAAGTTGTCTGGCTTAGTGTCATAAGACACCCTGATATACTGGGGAAAAAATGAGATTGTTACACTGCTTGTGTATCTTTCAGTGACAGTCAGTTTAATCTAAAAGCATGCTTAATCTGTTAGGTTCTAACACAGTTCAAATAATGTCCAGTTAACCAGGGGTTGCATGGACTAGTTGACTTCTCAATAATAAATCCACTAGTTGGGGCTGTGGGCAGCAGTCGACTAATTGAGAACAGTGCTTGAGTTTAATGATGAAGTACAGCAACAAAGTAAAACAGAAGTGTACAGGCAGGAGACTCCAGAAAACAATAACATCTCTACCATGGCCTTGTTGATGAATCCTCCTCCCTGGAACTCGATGGTGCCATAAGCATCGGTGGGGAAAGCCTGTGTGTGCTTGGCCACAGACCACTTCTCTTGAGGAGGGTCCACCTGCACCAGCAGGTTGTCCACTGCAGGCTTGTTGGTGACAGCGCCAGATGGAATTGCCACATGCTGAGCCACCAAATTACCACAGGCACACCTTAAAAAAAATCAAAGAATTCTTATCATAGCAGAAAAGCTTTTAGTTGAGAACACTAGACAATCACTTTTTCACCCTTTTCAAATATTATTTCTTTTAAAAATGGACCTTTTTAAATTCTATACTATCTTTCTCAACTCTAAATGATTTTTTACACATTTGTATGCCAGAGGGAGCCTATTTGTGCAACCCATTTAGATGCCCTCCAGTTGCAGTAACGATGAGATTGAAAGCGTGGGTCTTCTGTATGTAGGCCGGCTGTGTCCATGCGGCCCTCTTTAATACGTGCTTCTGAGCACACACAGGCCATTCACTCTGGCAGCCCTCCACCTTGCTGGCTACGGGTGGCCAGTGGACCGGTCCATACCAGCCCCTTTGCCCCCCATACATGCAGCTACAAAGCAGCCTGGCACCCAGTGTGCCCCCACAGTGATTCAGAACGGGAATAGTGATGTCAGAATTTCCCTTTAGTTATATAAGACCCACCAAAATGTTGTTCTAGCCTGAATCCCAGCTGAATTAGCATGTGATACATATATCTATATACACATTATCACTTATTGTCTTCTTAAATCATGAGCATCTTAATTATACTTCTGCTGTTTCTGTCCACTTTTGATTCACGATGTTCCTGCTTTTCATTCTACTGATGTTTTCCAGTTCAGTGGCTGAAGCAATTCAAAATGTTTCTACTAACTTTCACAACCCTTCATTAAACAAAGGGGCTTACCGAGTTGGATCCTTAGATGGAAAAATGTGGATGCATTCTCTTTTCTGAAAGGTCCTTTCAATCCAAGCTTTCTGGCCCTGTCAACAAAGGAGAATATGCAGCAAGACTCATTTTATTTTTGATTTTAAATGCTGTCATTTCACTATTTAATTGACACTTAATTTCAGGTTTGTAAACCACTTTACTGGTATATCGTACTTAATATACATTAGCAGAAGCTGGAGGTCACTAGAAAAGCACAGTGTTGAAGTTGCTACATATGAAGCCCTCTTTTCTCTCCCTCAGAAAATCCATGTGTTATGCCAGTTACTGTAAGAAGTGCTTTTAGTCCCTCAAGTTTTGTCAAGGCTGATGCATTCAATCCTCTTACCACTACTAATCCTGACTAAACTATAAGCAGTATAGTAGGTAGAGCCCAGTAAAATATACAGCCGCATATGGTATATTTGACAGCATAAATGCGCACACTGAAATACTGTAAGAGATTAAGTAGACTGCATGCTGCTTTTGCTGAGTAAAAGGCATTTATTCACAATTACTAACACATTACTCTCAGATGAACGCACTTCTAGGAATGTACAGCTCTATAGAGTTGGGTGTGGCCCACATTATACTGAGCCATCAAATCTCGAAAAAGCCACTGGCTTACACCGGTATTGAGTGAGATATAAGACAGAAATGAGAACAAGAGGGGAAAAAGAAGAAAGAGAGGGTGCTGACCATATCCAGGCCATATTTTGTTTTGACTGAAATTATTAGTGCATAGCAAATTAGACTTCAGATCTGCTTTGGACCTTGGTCATCGGCCTCCTGTTCCCGTTCTGAGAAAGTGCCAAGGAAAGCAATGAAACAAAAGTAGCTTTTGCCAATGGACATGTCAGATCCTGTGATGCCAGTTTTTTGATCTTGCTCCAGTGCCGGACGAAAATAACCTTCATTCAAAGCAATATCTGTCTGAGCTTTTGTTGTCAGTTCAGTCCTAATTAAGACGAAAGCTTTTGAAGCAAATCTCTCCAGGAAGTTCAGTTGGAGAGGACTGGACAAGCCACTAAGAAAGAGCTAGTCATAAACCCAACTAACCATGACTCACCCCCTGCTATTCCTTTATGCAGCGTCTTCAAGGAGAAATCAGTCTAGACTAATCTGCTGGGAAAGTTCTTCCAAAACATCATATCATATTTTCCACAATTTACTTTTTGCCTCACTGAGACTTTCCTTTTCACAAGAGTAATTCACTGGCTAACAATGAAGTAATCTATCAAAAACATAAAATTACTCAGATTTATTCATCCAATAAATGCAGCATTATGTAAGTCTAATGTTATGAGAGAGCTCTTTAAGGATTAAAAATTAGGTTTGTCCATTTTAATTTACTCTTGCGCAATAGCGAGTACGTTTTAAAGTGTGTCATTAAACCGTGGTGCTTGAGGGCATCTCATCACTAAGAGGAATAAACAGTTTGTGAATCACATATTTAATCAGGACAAACAAAAATGATACCACAGTCTCATTTCATTAGTTCAGTTTGGAACCATGAATGCTAGTGCAGCATATTCATTGCTGTTTTTATCACTCTAGAATCAAAATCACTTTCACATTAAAGAAACTCATTTACTGCTGGATTTTAACCAATGTAAGCAACATTCTTCACTACAAATCAACTATTACAATACATATCTCCCACCTCATCTCAGTCACTCAATATCAATAGGGAAGAAATCCATAGGATCCTCAGCAAGCGCAAGCAGGTCCTACCTGTGGAGCTTATCAGGTTTGAGACACAGCGAGAGGCTGAGTGTGGCAGCGTTTTGCATCAGTGTCCCCATTACAGCTCCTCTAGCGAGGGGTGCTTTCTCTCGCAGTGTGTCGGCGCCCAATGAATCCCACGGGACATGAAACTTCATCACTTTAAGAGGGGCTGTTCATATGATGAGCATGTGAGCAGCCTCTTTGTTCAGGACAAGTCTCATGACTCCAGTTCAAGGTAATCCTTTTGGGAGTCCCATGACCCCTCTCTCCTTGCCCACAGGGTATTTTCATCCCTTGCTAGAACAAGAAGCAAAGCAAATCTGCTTTGATAGCCTCAACCCCACCCCTCCCCCCCTCTTAATCTTCCAATTCCTGAGACCCCTTTTTTTCAGGATTTTCGTCTCAGCCAGGCTGATCAGAGCCAGAGTCTGTAATGGGGTGATTGCGAAGGAAAGCTAGTTCTTGTACCAAAGGAAAGGTAGAAAATTAAAATCAAGAGAAGGACCTGTGCTCACCACAGTGAGAGGAGCTCCCTGAATTTTCGGTTGGGAAGTGTCACCCTCTTCAACTACTTTGACTTCAACCCCCATTTGCATAATTGAGAGAATTGGGCCCAGGCATTCTTTTGAAAAGAAAAAGCCTTGTTAAGAAATGACTGGACTCCAGTTGGGGGCAAGGTCATCCAACGCTAATTGCAGTTAATCTCTATTTCCACCAACCATGTTATGGTGGCGCAAAACCATTCTGACGGAGGGCAGTGTTGACCAGGCATGAGTGCCTTTGCTGACTTTCATCTTTGAACAAATATTCCGTGTATGACAGAAGGAGGTCCTCCCTTCTATTTACATAGAAAGCTCATCAGCAACTTTTTTTATTTTTGTTATTACCTATTCAGTATTTCTGTTATTTGATTATGCCAAAGTCTCACATATCTTACTGTGCTGAAGGGAAAGAAGATAAATATGTGACACAGATGCTGGGGGCAAGAATTCAGAGCAAGTTTCACTCCTAATCTTGGCTTAGAAGAAGCAATGCTGCAAAGAAACAGCAAAATGTAGATAAATAGAACCAAAAAAAGTACAGTTTTTCTGAGGTTACCAACCAAGATGGTTTTTATTGCTTCACATTATTTGTTTGCTTGCTACTTGCTAAGTGACCAGTTTTTATGTTATTTTCTGTTGTATTAGCAACAAATTTGGGTACATGCATGTATCTTATATGTTCCATTTGCTGGCAAGCTGTGTTTAAGTTTTTTGGTGGCCTTTGATTTCATGAGATGGTTCATCTTTTGCATTTTGGTTCTATAGGTCTGTTTATTCAGCCATTGAAAACACTGACTGTTCAAAGGCATTGAGATGATTCCATTCTTTCTGATTTTCCTTTTACAGTTTACACAGGGGAGGTGAGGTTTCAGTCTCTGGTGTAAAAGCTGGGGGCGGTTAGCAAAGAGGACCAGCATGTGGACCACTCTGTGTTAGCACTGTGGTCAAAATGTGTTAATTAACGGTGCTGGCTAGTGCTAATGTTCGACTAATGTGACGCACTTATTTCAGCTTACTTTCCCTCATTATCCCCGTAATTAAAATACAAATCCTTTGAGAACTCATGGTCTTGCTAGTTTCCTAAAAAAATGCACAAAAGACCTCGAGAAGGAGAACTAAATGCTAAAGGGGGATCAGATTTTGTTGCTCCAAACAAATTAACAAGGCCTGTGGCAAACCTGGCAACAATCAATAGTTTATAGTTGTTTCATAGCACCTTGGCCTTCAGTAGACCCTCTTGCTCAACACAAAAGATTATTTGTACAGGAACAAGACTGCCAGTAAGGTTTTAAGAGGAAAAACAGATTATATTTTTTTGTTTTAAACTTTGCCTCAGTTCCAAAGTCTGTGTTTTAACCTTATAAAAGCAAAACCCATTTAGATTATAAAAATATTTTCATCCATCAAGAAATGCTCCAGTCACACTATAGTCTTATAAATGGACACTTAAAGAGGAATTCCACCAATTTTTCAAGTTTTCTGCATAACTAAATGGTTAAGTAAATGTAATCAAAGTTATTTAGAGTGGTTTGATGTAAAATGCTCTGTTCAAAAGAAACCTAAAGAGTCAGAATTGTTCACAGCAACTGCAAAAGAAACCACATTTTAAGAGTTTAATGTCTGTAAAAGCTCCTTTGCAAAATGATTCAATTTAATGATTACACATACACTGCTTGATCTCTGAGACATTGTTTTATGATAAACTTTTGAAACTTTTGGGCTAAAATGTACTTTTTTCCCAAAGAAAGCTTTTTTCAATTATACCTCTATTTTACCACCAGCAGCAACATCTAAACATTCAGAAGACATGTAGATTCACTAGTCATGTTGGATAGTAAACAAATTGCTTAGATTTGTGTTGTAGATGTTGTGACCCTGGTTCCTATCCCCAACCCAGCAAAGAAATCAGAGTTGGTATGTTTCTTTACAATGAACCATTTCACTGAACCACTCTGACTGACTTTGTTTACATCTCAACCACTAAATTATGCAAAAATTTTGAAAACTTTTGAAAAATCCATGGAATGCCCCTCTAACAATGACAACTATATTTCTGAAGGTGTTTTCTATGCTTTGTGTTTCCTGGTGAATATGAAAATGATCTTAAGATTGTGCTATCAGAGTTCAAATATTAATGTAGCTAAATACAAGTAAAACAGTGTAGAGATAAAGCAACTAAGTGCATGTCTATGTGAAACTGAACATAAATCCTTAGCCTGTTGGACAATCAATAGTAAATAGCTAAAATCTGCCCAAAAACTCCATTAAAATGCAGGAGAAAGTTATGCCTGGAGTGTCTGCAGCCTTGTTCCTTATTCCCCCCTGATTCCTGAACGAATACAGGAGCCATTGAGTCTGTGGAGCACAGGGCGAGTTTGCTTTAATTTGCCTAAACTCTCTAAAATGTGTTTCTCTCAATCTGCCTCTGAAAAGGCTCATTGTCTCTGTGAGTTTAAATCCAGTTAGCCATCATCATATGACAACATGTTACTGATTAGCCTCGGGATTTCTACGAGTCATAAGACGCATTCTCGAGAGAGAGAGAGAGTCTATTATAAGAGAGTCTATTTTTTCTAGAAAGAGTAAGTCTATTTTTTCAATTATTTTTTATTTCTATATTTTTTCCTTATTTCATTTTTTAAAATTACAAACAAAAACAGTTTCACTTTTGCGTAGAACTGTTTAACATGGGTTTGCTTTCTGTTTCAGGACTGTCTTGAAGTTGACACTATGGCACACTTCATACAGGGTGAAAATTTAATTTTAGCAGCATCAGTGAATTGGATTTAAGTGAATTGTACTGCACAGGTAAATAGCATTTTACTGCATTGAAGTTAATTTGTGCACATGTTTACTCATGTGAGGAAAAAGGCAGTATAAAGGCAGATATCCTTACTACTTCGCACTTTGTATTTTGGACTCAAAATTATTTACAATCTTGTTATATTAACATCCATTAAAAGTTAAGAACATCCTTTTCTTTCCCTGGAAAATTTATCCAGGTTTTGTTTTCAAGCGGAAGTCTGGAATCTCTTTCTCAGAGACTTACGTAAAATTATTTTGTAGAAGTATTGTTTTTTTCTTTTCCAAAATAACTAAATGAGCAAAAACATTGCTTTCTCTCTTCAGTGTTAAGGTTTATAGTTAGGATCAGTCATTTTATCAATGCAGGACCTCAGAAGTATAGCAATACACAGAAAGTGTGTGTGTGTGTGTGTGTGTGTACATGCACATCTAGAGAAAGCTTCTATACCCTTTTCTCCCTGGGCATATTTGGATATGTGCCTGCATATCTCAGACCTCTGTGTGTTCGTGTATGTGCCTGTGAAGATCTGCTTTCTTCAGCAGTCGTTTTAGCAAATTCTGTAAATAATATGTGAGAAATTAAAGTGGGGAATATTTTAAAAAGTACAGTTATCACATTTTTAAATTGCTCTGTTACATTCTTGTGTATGATATTTCACTATATACAATGTTCACTTCCTCAGGTCATTTTGAAGGCAGCGTTTTTAGATTTATTAATCACAGTGGAGCAGACATTAGAAAGTGAGGAAGCAGAGTGCTTAATCTGGCGCAGCTGCTAGAGCTCATACTGGGCCATTACAGAGGATTAGAGGCAGGGACGAGCCAGCTAGTCCTGGAGGTGCCAGTCTTCTGCATGGCAGTCTAATCTGAGAACAGTTCTGCCGCTTCTCATATGGTCGAGGTTAGGATTTGCATTGGGAAATAGCTGCCAGAGGCCAATGCCCTTTCTGCGTTTGTCTCCTCTTCCCTTCGGGTGGTGTTGTGGCAGTCGATCACACGCTTGAGACGTCAGACTCAGAATACAACAGCAGCTTTTACACTTTCAGGGTCAGGTCTTCCCGGCATAGCAGCAAACTGAATTTGCTTTTAATTTACATGTCTGCATTGGAAATGAAGCCATATTTAATGTACCTTTTTGATTTCTAAAAATCTAATCCACACATTCCATGTGGATTCCATGCGGATTCCATGTGGATTCCATGCGAAGACAATGTTTTTAGATCCAGAGTTCTGGACAGCCTTGGGACTTTATTTGAATGTCCAATTAAAAATAACAGTCAGTATTAAATCCCTTAAACTTTATGGATCCTTTATTTAGTTCAGCTCACTCAAAATAACTGCATAACTGGAATATAGATTCATTGTACACTCACATGAGAGAAAACAATGGGCCAAACCCAAAATATAATGGTTGTTACTGATAGTTTTGAGAGAATATAGAGAATATTTGGTCTCACATTAAACAAAAACTAACTCAGCAATGTTTGTCAACGGTTTGATGCCATTAATGCTGAGTGGAAAAATACTGACATCTCTCAGTAAAAGGTTGTCTGCAAATTTACACACAAAACTTCTTTACTATTTATTTAAATATTTGTTGTGAAGACCATTAATAGCTTAATGTTTTGCCATTTTGGGAGTGTAGAAACCAACTAACTGACAATAGTTATGGAATAATGAGTCTTAAAGTTTTATTATTAATAAGCAAGGAATAAGTCTTGGGTTCAGTCTGTTAAAAAATAGTGCTCATAAATCAATAGTCAGTACTCCTAAATAATATTAAACACTCAGAAATAATAATCAGTATTAAAACAAATTAGTCAGTACGCAATAATAGTAATAGTCAGTATTTAAAAATAATAATCAGTAAAAACATATATGTTTAGGCTATTGCATATACTTTGTGTTTTTTTTCTCCTGTTGTTTGTACTTGTGCTGCAGTTTCATTAAAAACATGGTATTTTATCTGTCTAATATTTTACTTATTCTTCTGTGTGAAGCACTTTAAGATTTAGTAACTAAAATTAAACATGCTATTCAAAGAATATTACTATTATTAGTAGTAGTACTATTTTTATTACTCAAATAGTCAGCACTCTGCTCTACAGCTTTAAACAAATGTTGTAAATGTTTAAAAGGACGATGTTGTAAAAGTCAAAAGTAAATAAACAGAATATTAACTTCTTGAAGAAGAGTGAAATATGAATATCTAAAGCCATGAAAGTGAAGAAAATTCAAGTCTCCCCAGGATTAGTCTGAGGTGGGAGATTCCTGTAGCTTTTCACTCTAGAGGCAAACTGAAACTAGAGAAGCTGTTTTAGGAAAACCTTGACCTGCATTCCTGTTTGTGTAACATGCACTAATTCATTCAAGAAAAATAAAATACAGCAATTCAGGTGGTCAGAGATAATCTTGTTTCCTTGAAGCATTTGAATAAACTTCCCAGTAGTTCTCCCAGTAAACAGTGGATGTAACTTTGGATTTCCATCATCTAACCAGCCACAAGCTCCCTGACCTGTTGATTCTAAGCTCCCTGATGATTAGACCTCTTAAACTTCACAGTCATCTACATCCTTAGGCTCAATATTCAGCAACAAAAAACAATGCAAAATGGCTGAGTTATAAGTTATAGAGATGAGCTATGGAAGTCTGGACCCATTGGCGGATTTGTAAATGCAACAGCTACTGAGCAAGTTGTCAACTACAGCAGCAAACTCTTACCTTCTGAGAGCCAGAACTGGTGCGATTGATGGAGGCCTGTTTGAAGGAACCTCCTGTTTTCCTTCCTCCCCTCTCCATCTCTTTAATTGCAGCTTGTTCTTCATACACTCATGCCTATGCCATACATATGAAAAGGCTTATGCCCTTTCACAGCCACACTGTATCACTATCACAGCTAGAGCACCTATCACAGTTGCAGGATCATCTCTTCTTTCTCTCTCTCCCTCTCTAGCTATCTCTCGCTCTCTCTCTCTCTCAGCTCACTGTCTCTTAACTGACAGAATAGACGTCGGTGAGGGATAAAATCATTCGATGACGAGCTTGACACATAGACCCCGTTTCCTCCGACTGACACACTATAATCAGGCTTAATGCACCCGGCTCTTGGAAGCGTCCGACTTTAATGGAGGGAGATTTAATAAATGGTTATTGAAGGTAAATCTACTTTAGGACACCATGGTCCCAAAAACGAGCTTGAAAGCATGCAAACTCAGGTTGTGGACGTCTCTTAGGCTCAGGGTGCGCACAGACAGTAGAGAAGGGCAGATAAATTGGGTTAAGGAGAGGTGAAAAGGTGAATGACACATAGATCTCACTGATCACTATGATTTAGTTATTTGGTTAGAAGGAAATGGTCCTGGTTTTACAACTAATAGGCTACTGTGTACAGACTCACACACAGTATACCTGGTGAAAACTGGAATATGCTCAAAAATGAAACCGAAAACATGTCAATATAAATCGCAATTCCATTTTAGTGGGGTAATAAAGTACATATATGCTGACTGAATGTGAGACAATGGAAATGTACAGTATAATTACATTTTTTAAAAAAGTGATATAGTGATTTCATTTTTTGAAAGGCGAAACTGACTTCTGGAAAATGAGAAGCCCTTTGGCACATTTTATTACATATATGCATATGACTTAAATGGGAATCCCACAGATTTTTCAAATTTTCCACAAATTAAACAATTAATATGTAGCCTGAATAATGCCATTCAAGGTTATTTGCATCTGAATCTCCACTTCTATGCATATTCAAAACCTAAACCTGAAACTAATAATTATCTAAGTACAAACAATTCTGACTTTCAAAACATTCTCATGCTGTACTATGTAACGTGCATGTGCTGTTATGTAATCCTGACAGAGGAAGGTTTAAAGGCATAGGTGCACCCTCTTATGGCCATTATGCTAACTGCAATTATAATGTGTGTGTTGCAAGTGTGCATGTTAAGTATATTGCAAATCTTTATGGCTATTGCTATTTGTCACAGACTGTTACTTTGCAAAATAAAACAGCATACTGACACATGTGTAACTTAAATAAGTTGCTCTAGGAATCACTGGGGAACCAAATTACATGTGTAAACAAGGATTCTTAGAAGGACAAGGACGCAGCAGTGATTGAAACTGAGCTCATACACATCCTCTCATCTCACTCTAAGAGGATCAGTCATAAGGTAATCCACACTAGTGTACTTGTCATAACATGAAGCCTTTTTACACATATACACATGCAAGGTGTGGATTTTATCCTGATCAAGACTTTTATCAAAAACATAAACATGCCAGACAAATTGTCACCGTTGGAACAAAATCTTGTATGTCCATTGTTGCCTTACAAAAATACCAGCTGCTGTTCATGTTGTGTCATAATGTTTCATAATGAACAGACTTGTTATATGAACTTATATTGAAAGTTATGGTTGATTTTTGCTTTCCCTGTAAAGTTACTTTTCTGGGGAGATACAAGGTTTGGTTCCAACAGCAACAAAACGCAACTTAGCAAACACATAAAACTTCAGGTCATATGGGGATAGACTTAATGTACGGGGAAAGGCTGTGTTGAAGGAACACAGACGACTATAAAAGATCATTTTATGACTTATATGGGCCTCCACGGAACATCATAGAGCTGTACATATAACCTCAACTTGCCAAGTTAAGCTTAGAATTACATTGTCTGATGTTCATGCAAGTTCTGGAAGAGCTTTTTTTACTGTATTCTGTATGTTAAATGTTTTCTGTGTTTTAACTGCATATATGGCCCTGCTGACTTCTTGCAACACCTTCTCATTATATTTATGTTCATATAGAACATAGACTGCTGTCTATGGATGTAACCAAATATGTTTGTATGTGTATTTACAAATGTGTGCAGCACATTAAGACAATTTTTATCATATAATGATAGACAATAAATTATGGAATCTGAAAAAAAGGCCAGCCCAAACTGAAGTCAAACTGAAGCAAATATCAGTACAAAACCCAAAAAGTCTTACCTGTATTGCAAATGGCAATAGGCATGCTCTTCTCCATGTGTTCCTAATAGCAGTCCTAATGGAGATGGAGATCCTCTGTGTTGATACATGCGTATTTCCATTGCCTTAAGAACAGATAATGTGTAATTTCTCCCTGTAAGCAGACACAAATGAGCTTTATGAGCTGCAGATGGCTCTTCCATTGTCACTCACACACCCTAATGCCCCACATGATGTGAGAGCATTGTGGTCAGCAGAGCTGTGCAGGCGGACACCCGAGGACTTCCATTACAATCGGCTCAGCTGAAGCACAGTGTGTCCACCACTTCCTCTCATTCATCTAGTGTACACAAACCTCCTAGGGAACACACTGCCCTGCAAGACATGGATTTCTCATTTAAAACAGGCCATGTTTATGCAACAACAGCATGACATTTTTATTAGAGAATGAGCATAAAGGGCACACAGCAAGATTAATTAGCATTCTCAATATTCTGAAAATGACACATAGCTTAAGTAATTGACGTGTTTAATCTGAGTATGAATGACAGAGACAGTAGAGGAGTTCAAGCTATGCAAGAGGGAGAGGGGAGCAGCAGAAAAATGTAGGTACATTTATTTGAAGACCACCTACATAAGGACTTCATTGTATATGCATCAGCAGTGGATAACACACTTTAAAAGCAATACTTGAGTATTTATGAAAATTATACGTCAGAATTCGTAGGACAAAGTAAATGATGTGATGTAATGACGCTTTATGATGCTCATATAACTGATGATATAACTGAGATATACTGTGACAGAGGACAAACAGGACTCTCATGTCATCTTGTGAATACGGATGTTCATAAATACCCAAGTATTGCTTTTTAATGCTATTCAGTGCATGTATTACAGAGGCCCTGTGTAAAAAACCTTCAAAAGTGTTACTGAGAAAAGTTAAGAGTAATGAGTAATGATTACATGACATGAAAATCCCATTGCATGTGCAGTAACTTAGTTCTCCATCTCTATTTATTGACCATCCTTTGGTGGTCCTCAATCACCAAGCCACCACATCTGAAAATGAAGCTAAGCTGACCATAGGGTCATTTCTTGTTTCTTGGCTGACACTAGTAAAAGTTTGCTTATGTTTCCAAACACTGTTTCATGTAAACCTGAATTTTAGCTTTTGCTTCAGAAAAAAACAACAGAGCAATTGTTCTTAAAGAAATTCATGTTTTACAATCATTTGAACACATGCGGTTAGAACTGCTGGTGCATGATTACAAGTCCTATGAGTGAAAAATGCTTTTCAATAATGAGAAGTTCACAGTGTAAGCGTAATGTAAAACTGCAGAGTTTTCCAGGAGCTAGTGTTCTCATACATGTTTTTGAGAACTTGTGTTTTCAATATATTAAACACTTAAACTGATTTTGCAGTAGAGTGTAGTTTGACATTTTTCAACATCATGGTTATGCACTTTTCACATTACGCACAAGAGGGCGCACATGGGGTGTAATTCCTCTGCTGTCTATCCCTCAAAGAAGCTGGCATGAACTTCTGATTCCTCTTCTGTCCTTTGTCTGAGAGCTTCACAGAAATTTTCAGCATTTTTGGCCAGAAATACAGGCAGTTGACACAATGTTTTAGCCAGTCCATTTATTAACACCAGTTGGGTGTTGATGGATGTTGTTATATTCATAAATTCTTTTTATTATCAACCTCAAGAAAACGTGAAAATGCTTTTGTCACTTTGGCCCAGGTAAAGTAATTGTCCTGAGGTCATGCTAGAGAAGTGAGGTCACTGTGAAGTGAATTTAGAGCAGTCATCAGGGAAAGTTTTTTGGGAAATCCTTCCCCTCTCTCTCCTCTCTGTTTTCTCTTAAAGTCATGAAAGAGTCTGATGTCATGAACATATTAACTTTAAAGTTTAGAAACTAAACCTTTTATGAAAATGATGTATGATTTGCATTTACTATTCTCAGTTTATTCAGTGAAGCGCTCATGCTGCCTAAAGTAGCTTTAGAGAGAGGAGAGAGACTGTTATCACTTGTCGTGACAAGCACAAACATGTATTAAAAGCTGTGTTGTTTTCTTTGTGGCACGTCTTGCAGCTCACGTGCATGTATTGTTGTGTTTTCTACTTGTTAATTTGCAAATGTTTTTCCCTCTGACATGTCTTATTGTTGAAGCCCAGGGAGAAAATAGAGAACAGCTGTTAGGCAGGTTGAAACCCAAAATTGGCTCCATATGCAGTAAACTATGGAAAACAGCACATAAGTGGGGCCTAATTTAGGCCATTTCAACGGCCTGATTTCCTAAGATGAAACAGGCAGCATTTTACCATCAAATCAGTGTACAGTACAATGAAATACGAGTAAAGCGAAGGAGGAGTACTGCTGTGGGTTGGTTAGGTTACACTCAGCTGCAGGCCTGCATGGCTAATCAATAATGCAGCAGGTGTCTGCCTTACCTGGGAGAGGCGACAGCTCCACCTGGTTGCTATGGAGACAGACTATAGGCCCTGCAGGGACGGCCAGTACATAGTGAGTTCAGTCGCGAATTCCGTCTCTTAAACTGTAATTGTGTGTCTGCGTGTGAGCATAATGCACATTAAGCTTGGGCCTCATGCTGGAGACTGTAATGTTCTTGACAGGATAACAAAAACATCTTTTGGCTTTTGTTTCACTAATGTCGCAGTAAGAGACATGGGCACGTGGTAACAGTCAAGTCTGAGTCTGTTTGGGTTTCACAGTAGGGTCATTTAGAATGTGTGCCAAGCAGCAGGCTATGAATCCAGCCTGGAGAGCCTCCAGAGGGGAAAAGGGTTTAGAATGGTGCTGATAGTCAGGCATGTCCAAACATGTCACAAACACAGTGTTTTCAAGAACCTCTCTTGTACAGCCTGTCTAGAAGGCAAAGAGCTGGCCGTGAACCTGTGCCGCTAGTTCAGCAAGTTGGTCCTGTGTTTACAGTGCAACAAGCTGAAAAAATGCGACAACAGAATTATGAGGTACTGTCTAGTCTGAAGTACATATCTGACAAGACTGGGTTTAAAGTTCCAGCAAAAGGTTGTAAAGAGCAAACCTTTTTCAGTTTCATATTTCACTAAAGCCAAAACCTTGTGGAAAAGGTAAAATATTCTTAACTTTTAATGTAAGTTAATATAAAGAGGTTTTATTAAAGTGAATATGAATCAGTTCTGTTGATCCATTCATCATGAAATGTTTGATAATAATAAGATATGTTAAATACAAACAAAAAAATGATACAAAATTTCTCAGATACATAAAAGAC